CCCCTTGCTGTGCTGTGCTGCTAGAAATGAGGATAATCACAGGTTGATAAGGCCCAGTAACCAGAGCTGCATTCCATAACTCCCATCATAATTCAGACTGCTCTTTAATTCCCAATCATTTTTTTGTTATTGCTGGTACCAGCGATCAAACTCAGGACCTTGCATTTGCGAGACAGTTGGCAGAACCACTGAGCTAAATCCCTGGCCCAGCACTGTTCTTAATAAACAAAATGAAACTCCCTGTACACTCTCAAGCCCTGTCCTTTGTGCTGAGCCCTCCCCCTTGAAAGTCTCTTTGTCCTTTCACAGCCCTCTCCCCCTGTGTTTGTGACCCTATAAAGACCCTCCTTATAGCCTTGTGAGAGTAGCTGGTCTGGTCTCTGTCCCAGGGTTGTCCCACTCAGATTTGTTCTGAAATAAACCTGTCCTGCGAGCTCCTACCTCTGTTTACTTTTCCTTTTTCCTAACAAGGTCCAATTAAGAGAAGTCAGAAACTCAAATCTTGGTCTAAAAACTCCTGTCTTTCGATGAATTTGAAGTCAAATATGAGCCAACTTTGCATGTCTTCAGGCTGCATCAGGCCCGCACCCCATGATTTTGACCCTCTTTGTACTTTATCCCTTTTCATACTTTTAGGAAGGAGGAGGGATGAGCGCTGACACCTGGAGGTGCCAAGACACATGAAAACAGGCACAACCTTCTGTCTTGGGGCTTTGGGCCCAGCTGGGGGACACGAATCAATTTTAAAACTCCACTAGTGGATTCATAGTTAGATATGTAGAGGAGTGCCCCAAAAGTAATGCACTCGGGTCTGTAAGCTCATGAAAGGGAGGCTGATCTTAGCTAGAGGGTCAGGGGTTTGTGCAGTGACCCGGGGAGGGCTGAACAGAGAGAAGAAGGAGGCCAGTGTGGGCGTGAGGGGAACAGGCACCGGCCCATGCCAGGCTTTGGAGGCCTCCAGACATCTCAGAGCCCTGGCTAAATTCTTACCTAAGGTAATCTTTCATTACCTTGTGCAGATTCAACATTGAATAAATTGTGAGTGATCTTTTCATAGTCCTGTTTTTCAGTGCTCAATTTTGGAGAATACTAGATTTGTCAGAAACATTTGTCATATTTTGAAAGAATATATACTGAAGAGAATTGGAAGTAATATATTTTAAGTTTGTTTCAAGTTTTGACTTTGATATGATGATACAGTCTATAATTATATAGTAATGATACTGTATACTATGGCGAAAATCTAAGTACATCACAACCAACCAAATGAGACTAAACAATTGATTCGTTTCAGTGCTTGTAAGCTACTTCCTGGTTTACCTGAACACTATTTCTTCTGCTAATTCTGTCTGGTGACAAAAGTAGAACCAGGACAAGCGTATGTCCAGGTGGGTATCTGAAGGGGTGTATCTTTATGAATCTGAAGATGCAAACTAAAGTTCAGTGTATGATAATGAAGAGAAGGAGAGGAGTTATGTGTCAGTTAGAAAGTAAAAAAAGAAGAGGCAGGAGTGGTACAGCTACCCAGCCAGAACATCCGAAGGACACAATTATATTAATTCATGCTGTAGATGTAAACACAATTCTCACCCTTTTCCTTTATCTGTAATCAGTATTCTTCACATCTTCTATTATTACCAGACCTCTCTACTCCGGAAGCACTTGAAATATGGCTAGTCTAAATTGTCATGTGCTGTAAATTTAAAATGTATACCAGACCTCAAAAATGTAACACAAAAGAAAACATCAAATATCTCATTAGGGCCAGGGATTTAGCTCAGTGATTCGGCCACCTCTTCGCAAGTGCAAGGACCCGAGTTTGATCCCCGGTACCAAAAAAAAAAAAAGTAAAATAAATAAAATAAAATATATCATTAATCAGTTTTAATTGGCCATCTGTTGAAGTGATAATATTCTAAATATATCAGGACAGATAAAAAATATTCAAAATAAATTTCACCTTTTTTGTTTCATTTTTTAAGTGTGTCCAGTAGAAAATATAAAACAACACATGTAGCTAATATTATATTTCTGCTGGCAGCATGACTCCAAGCCATTCCATGAGTGCATCACAGGAGATAAAGTTTGCTTTTCAAGCAACATCTTGATGGTATTCCGTAGCCACATGTCACACATTGGGCTTTGAGGGAATCATAACATGAAATGTGCCAGGGGTCCCAAAAGGAGTCTTACTGGCACTAACACTTGCTCAGCCTCTTTCTGACACCCCCACATTTCATTTTTTTTCTTGGCTGCAGCTCAAAGCCCAGTCCTGAAAATTTGCATGAAGGTCCTGGGGACCCACGAGACAGCCTGGGGCAGCTGGGGACTATGGAGCTCCTGCCACCTGCTCAGATGATGGTCACCTTGTGTTTACCTGGCCCAGCACATGGAAGGGTTCTCTGCCACCCACTCACATGGGGCTCTCACCTCTGTAGCCTGTAAAACACTGCCAGCAGAGAGGCAGGGGAAGGGGGTGTCCAAGCCTGCCGGGATTCAGACACTGAAGGGCATGGGCGTGGCCAGGGCATCCTAAGCACCCTGGATCTCCCAGCTTCCAGGGCACAGAGTCCTGCTCAGCAAGGGGGCTCTGAACAAGACATAGGTAAGCACCTCCACGATTTACCATCTCCCTTTTTCAACAAGAGTGAGTCTTACTTTTTTCCGTGAGGCAGGAGCCCTGTGAGTCAGGGCTCAGCCCATTGCTCTTTTCCTACCGAGGTATGGCACCTCCAGGGCAGAGTAGATGGATAAAAACCTGCTGGAGTTTTTATCTGGAGAAGATGGGGGGAGGTGTGTGTGTTGGAGGGTGGCACCCGAGAGCCAGGAGAGCAGGGGCCAGCTCAGACAGTTCCCTGCCAGGGAGAGGCAGTCACATTCACAGCTCACCACTGAAGAGGGGCCAAGTAGAACTAACTGGCAGCACTGTTAAGGATGTCACTTCTGGTGAGGGCAGACTTTATCTGGGATTTGTAAGTGTTATACCAATAAAGAATTAGAGATGCAAGTTTAAAGGGAGAAACATAATCACTTTATTGGAAAGAGGAGAGAAATGAAGAGAGAGAGAGAGAGAGCCATCTCCTGGGAGTACTGGTAGGGAGTCTGGAGCCTGGAGGTCTTTGTTCTTAGCTCTTTATTTGGCACGAAAGGAACCCTCCCCGCTGAGAGTTTGTATGACTTGACTGGCTGTTTTAGGCTCTGAGATCCCTGATTTGGCCACTGACTCTCTCCATTGCCTGCATACAAATTCTTGGGAAAGCTCCTTATGGCCTTCTTTGTTCTGTCAAGGTGTTATCTCTGAAATTTATAGCAGAGTCTTACATGCAAGGCTGAGTTAGCAATTAGTAAAGGGATATGTGTACATTTTAGTGTACTAACGTGGTGAGAAAATAACACACATATATACGTATTTATATATAGGTGTGTGGGTGTTCCGGCATGAGTATATATTTTACGTACTAGGTGAGTTTTCTATACTATCTCCCTCCCCAATTTGTCTCCTTTCTGCTTAGCTGGAGGTGGAGAGGAGCAACTCCAGGCTCCTGCACTGAAGGCTGTTTATCAGTTCTGCCTGTTTCTCTTAACTGCTCTCTCTAGCAGGGGTGTAACTCTTTCCAGTTGGGATTTGCCAGAAACCTCATTAAGGCCCTTAGCTTTCCCTGCCTGTCTCCCAGCTTTCCTTACAACAAGAGCAGCACCCACTGGCTGCCATCCCTAAGGCCTACCCTTCTGCTGGAGACAGGAAGGGGCCATGGCATAGAAGAGGGTAAGTGGCTCTGTGAGTTGATCCTCCTGATAGTGGACCCTCTTGATAGCCGCCTTTCCATCCACCTGGCAGCCAAGGCCCCTATGAAGACACAAACCCACTGTGTTGCTTGGCAGCTTTCCAGGATTAGCACTCTGCACCTCACACAAAGGCCCATCGTGGGCTGATGTTACTGTGGCAACCTGTGGGTACCTAAGCCACACCGGGTGGCTATAGCCACTGCAGGGAAGAGCCAAGCAAAAGCAGCAATGCAAGTGCCTCGCCACAGGCAGAGCAGGGTACTGCTAACTTCAGGCCCATGAAGGACCCAGCCTGCCCTAGCCAGAGCTTTAGGGGTCTGTATCCTTTTAAAAGCTGGGACCATTTTGCCTCCAATCACCTATACATTCCTGCCCTCTGTTTCTATGATCAAAGTAACTGTGCCAATAAAAAAATAAAATCAGGATTTGGGCTAAGGAAGCGTTGCCTCAGTATCCGATCTCGACAGGAACAGGAATTGGCAGGGAGTAGAAGTCAGTGGAGAAAGTTGTAGAGCAGCAGAAGCCTGTGCAAAGGCCGAAACCCTGTCCCCAGTCACAACTTACATACTGCGCTCGGGTTCCTCTGACCTGGCTGTCTGGCTTCCCCGCCAGCAAACACTTCACAGTCAGGACGGAGTCTAGCTCAGTTCCCAATCAGTACAGGCCTGGCTCCAGTCCAGCACTGCAACAGAATATAATTAGACGTTGGTGTAATGACCGTCAGATCCTGCTACCTCCCCCAACACTAGCCAGTCCCCCCAAATCCCATTTTCCCCAAGTAGGAAAGCAGACAATGCTAAGAGGGCTGCGAGCAGGAAGGACTTCTAAGGTCGAAGTGGGGTGACTTTTTTGCTTTTCTTTTGCTGTGTAGCCCTTACTGGTGCAGGAGCCATCAGTAACCTTCAGATTCCCTGGGTGTGAACAGGGGGCCACTTTCGCTTTATCTGCTCTTTCTCTTGCGTCTATTTGAACCCGTTTATACATACATTTTACAGAACCATTTGAAAGAGAATCGCAAGCAGATATCCTGACGTTCCTCCTGAACTAACATTAACTAAGACAAGGCAGTGTCCTATGCCATAACCACACAGAAGAAAAATAACAATACTTCAACATCTACAACAGGGCAGGTGGACCAAAACCTTGGGCTCGAGCCAGGTGGTTGGAGCAGACCGGGCGAGGTTCCAGGATGGGAGCTCGAGCCGCGCGACCGCTTGGCTCCGCCCCTAGCAACGGTCAGTTGGTGTCCCTTCCTAGAGACGTCGTCTACACAGCCAAGCCGCCGGCCTGCTGAAGCTGGTAGGTCGCCCAGGCCCTGGGATTGAGGGGCAGGGGTACCTCGGGGAGGTGCCCAGGGCGAGTGTGCAGGGAGGAGGCATCCTTCCCAGGCTAGAGTCCCCATTACTGACTACCAGTCGGGTTGGCCCTACAGGCCTTGGCCCAGGGCTGAGACCGGGTGGAGGTGGGGATATTTCTTCATAAACAGGCTTGCAGTTAAGCTCTGTACTAACCAGAAAGACTGGGGCAGGGGAAAACCACGATTCTGGTCCTGGAAGCCACCAGTCAGTCTTCTTATCCAGATGGCACAGAGATCAACTTTATTCCTCCTTTTACCCACCTCCATTCATTAATGCATTGGTTCAAACCAGCCTGCAGCAAATACTTTCTGGGCACCTACTGTGTGCCAGATCTGTGCCAGATCTCCATGCTAGGAGCCCATCTCTCAGAGATCAGTGTTTCTTGAAAATTCCTGCTCAGCTAGCCAGGGAGAGAAAAAAACTCCAACAGTCACAAATCCATTCACCAAATGAGGGCTTGTTCATGGGATCCTGGGATGTGAAACAGACAAAGTTTCAGGCTTCTCTCTAAATCAGAGGTGGGCGGCTTAGAAGCCCTCCTGAGCAGGCTCTGCTCCAGTCGGTCATCCACTTTGTGGAATCTCAGGGCTTCCTGGTGCACAGTTTGAAAATCACTACTGTGGTGCTAAGAATATAGTCGTAAGGAGTCAACCAGAAGGAAGACTTCAAGTTCTATTCTGATTCTGCCAGTTTTTTGCAACTTTCTTGACTTCTCTGGACTTGATTTTCCTCGCCTCTTAAATTGGTGATAACATCAGTACCCGTTGCACCGATGACTACCCCTGCTCACCTGTGTGCATTCCACCACTTGCTGGGCAGGTGGTCACATGGGATTGACTGTCGATGAATGCAACCTGAAGTATTCTTCCGCCCAAGCCAGTAGGGCTCCCAGCTCACGTGGGTGCAGAGCAAAAAGAATTTAGGTTCAATTCCAGCTGTGCCTCTTACTGGCTGTGTGATTTGGGGCAGGTCAGTTAACCTTTTTGAGCTTTGTTTTGCTTCTCTGAGAAATGAGGGCAGTCTTAGTTTCCACCTCAGAAGTCTAAATGTGGTAACAGGTAAAATAAGTCTAAGCCCCAAACAGCATTCACCATCCCCTGGCAGGCCCACCCTGCCATCTCTGTGGCTAGTTCCCACCACACTGGAGAAGAGGGATGTGCCCAGGGTTGCCAGCAGCAGAGTCCTTGCGCTCCCTGCTGCATGTCCTCCCTTCTGTCAGCCACACTTATTTCTGAACAGAGGTTTCTAGGATCCATGGAGCTGTGAATGGAGGCAGAGGCCTGTCTGTTATACCTCCAACCCATACCGGCCAAGAACAGGTGACTGGAGTTGGGGCCAGGCTGGAAGGGAGCTGTTGTGAAGGGCAGGGAGGTAGAGGGGAAACAGGGTGCCCAGTTTGCAGCTCACTCTCCTACCTATTTGGGAGATGTCTCAATGCATACCTCTCTGCCACCTCATTCAGGGAAACAGCTCACAGAGGGGCAGGTAAATCCACCTGTCACAGACCCCTTTTGCCCCTGGCAGTTTCCTAGACATTTGTGCACCTGCTGTCTCTGAACACCAAAGGCCAGGCATTTTTAAGCCCGTTTGTAAGCCGATGGAAATAATAGTTTCCTGTGGAGCTGGAGCCTTGGCCTCTCTAGACCTGCTCTATTTGACTATTTTGATCAGAGATGTAACAGACACCTGTGAGTTTGCAGCATGATGGAGCTGGGCCTCAAGGGGTCCTCTGACCTTTACGATGCTTTGAAAAGGGCTGATGTCTGTCAGGTGGGTGTGGGCCAGATTCAGCATTACCTTCAGTCCCTACCCTGGAAGGGTAGGGAGGGGATTCAGGGAACAGAGTTTCTGGTGGGGGAGCCTGGGACAGCTGACCAGGGGCTGCCCTTCTCCATCTCTCCAGAGGCTTGCCTCCCTCTTCTTAGAAGTGAGCTCAGCTGCTGCAGGCTGCTTCCATGCTTACAGACAGCTGTGCTTCACCCTGGCCTGGCCACCCACCCCATTCTTCAGGGCAGTGTAGGCGAGAGCCTATTATGCCACAGTATATCCGGGGCTGACACAAGCCAGTCCCACTGGGTGGCTACGCTGGAGAATAGTGGAGCAAAAAACACCTGGCAAAAGAGTGACCTAAGATCCTGCCTGCCCTGTCCCAGGGTGTGGACAGGATGGGAAAATGAGATGGGGCTGGGGAAGAAGGCTTGCTGGGGTGGGCCTCTATTACCTTTTGTTAAGATATTTTCTTTAATTGAAATTTTTATTGAGCTAAAAGAAGACTTGCTTTTTGGTTTTTTGCACTAGCCTTAGATGAAAACCCTCTTTCCCATCCCTTTGTCCAATTTCTTACAATATTCTTCTGCCCAAGGATTTGCCCCGTGATACATTGTGGAGTAGCCAAAAGCAACAGCTAGCACTAAGTTGGCAAGAAAAACACTGTGAACGCTTGTCCTCCAGGTGGTGGATTTGCATGTAGCCCTGAGGCATCTGACTCCCTTTGCAAAGACAGGAGGGTATGTGCTCCCCCAGATAGGTGACCCCAGAGTCAGAGTGAGTGGATGCTATTTATTGCTGGAGGGGGCACCGATAGCCAGCGGAGGCTTGGGATTGGGATCTCACTGGGGAGACCGCTTACTCCTCTGGCTCCTATGTGGTGGGAGGTAGGGTGGACGATGAGAAGGGAGGCTAAATGTGGCCCGGTGCTCACAGGTGCTAAAGAGCCACACTGGGGAGGGCAGGCCAGTGAGGAGAGCTGGACCAAGTGTCCTGGGGCCACTTCTGTGGAAAGTCATTTGGGGAAAGTCGTGAGTGAATGTGCTCTGGGTCTCTCTCTTCCTCTCCCCCCACTGAGAAGCCAGGCCTTGTGCTCTAAAATGAAGGAAAGTGGTGGGCAGATGCAGGGTACACTGTGGTGAAGGCATCTGCTGAGCTTTAGCTCACTCAGCCTTTAATTAAGGAGGGCTTATTCCTCACAGGTAGCGCCCATGTGGACTCACTGTTGCCTGGGAGGGACTCTCGTGGCACTGTGTGCGCGTCTACATTAAGCGACCACACCACTCCCTCCTTTCCCCTTCTGTTCGCCATGGACTGGGGCTTGGTGCGGGGGGACAGTCCAGGCGTCCACGTGTCCCAGTGCCCCTGGGGACCGAGTCAGAGGCTACCGAGAATTGAGGGGCACTGGTATCTTCTCCTAGGAGCTGAGGCTGGGACATCTCCCCAGGAAGCAGCATGGAGCAGCAGAACAGAGAAGGCTGCAGCCCAGGCAGGACCCCGCAGCCCCCAAAGTGCAGTGGTGCTTCTGCGGGTCAATGGTGCCGCCCAGGAAGGAGTCTCCGAGGCCTAGACTATACCCTGGAGCAGACTCCAGACCACAGGTTGAGGAATCCGCCTCCAGGTCCTGACTTCAAGCTCCCACCTTTATCCTCACCTCTGGCCCCACCCAGGACCTCAGATACTGAGCAGCCCAAGAAGTCACCCCAGTCAGGCACCGATAAGAGGTACCCACTGCTGAAGCAGAGAGGGTTCTACTCTGACATCCTCAGCCCTGGAGCCTTGGACCAACTTGGGGTAAGTGTGGCAGCTGTTCCCTGGAGGCCTAGCTTGAGCCTGCCCTATGGGCTCCATGTACCCATCCTCCACTTTTGTGCCTGCTATTTCACCTGTCCGTTCAGCTAACCATCCAGATATCCGTTAAGTGTCACACCATCCTCTCACACGCTGCTCCTCTTGCCATCCATCTGTGTTTTTGACCATCCATCCAGCTGGCCATCCATCATCCATTCACAGCTCATTGCTGAATACCTGCCGTGTGCTGGGCTTGGGTCTGAAGACTGGAGGCACAGCAAAGATGACTCATCCACGTCCCCATCCTGTGGGGCAATGGCTTGGATCAGGGAGGGCTCTGACGATGAGACATAGTGCTGAAATCTGGGGGATGAGTATGTGCTTGCTGGGTAAGATGGGGGCTGGGACCGTGTTCCAGGTAGGGGAACTGCAGGTATGGGCAGGTGAAGGGGAAGAGTAGCATGTGAGGGGAGAGATAAGGGATGAGGCTTGGGGCGGGGGAAGACGGGAAAGAAATGGCTAGGACAGAGTTCACAGAGCCTTTTGGGTTCCAGGCAGCTTTAAGGGCAGGAGAGGGACCAAGAAAGATAGGACAAGGACCACAGATACCCAGCCCACTGAGGGTACCACAGTGGCCCTTGAGAGAGGAGCTACACACAGGGTGACACCTGCTGACCTTACAGTCCCTGACTTGTGGTTCAGCCAACTGGGAGTGACACTGGGAGTGTTGTCACTGAGTGGGAGAGCTGTGCTGCACCACAGGAAGGGCCAGGTGTGTCCCAGGTGGCCGTGGCTTGTCACCCTACAGGGGCCCCTGGAACCCTGTGTGTGTGATCGCTGGTTCTGCCTCACCCCCACGCTTCTGGGATGCTCCCTGATTTTCCCTGGGATGTTTATGTACACTTAAGGATCTGGGGTTTCATTTCAGAATGTATGTTGTGGTCCCAGCACGAACCAGAACTTCTTGCGTCAGGCTGACCTTGACAAGTTCACTCCGAAAGGTCAGTGCCCAGGAGAGCAGGTGCGTGGGCCCTGGTGGGCAGTTAGAAGAAGAAGCAGAGCCTCTCGCCTCAAGGAGATGGTCTCTTCCTGGTGAGAGTCCCAGCTTCCTCAGGGTAAAATGAGGGGCTGGGCTCATGGAAGGTGCTTTGTCATTACCTTTCTCAGAGCTAAGACAAGGGCCCTGTGCTGATTTGGAGCCACAGTTCTGTCTGCCCAGGCAGGCCCATAGGACATTCATACACAGGATTTTCTGCTCCCTTGGAATATAGGCTTGAAGGAGACCAACACTGTCTGAGCTGCTCCCTGCCAGGGCCCAGCACCTAAAGGAGGGGTAGGTGCGCAGGAGACCTTTGCTGAAGGAGAAAGGAAAACTGCCCTCAGTCTCTGGCAAGGCTTGGGGGACAACTGGGAGTCAGGACTGGGACAGGGCTGCAGGGTGTGGGGCAGACCTCTGACAGAGAGGATGGGCGGCACCAGGAGAGCCTTTGGGTGGTGGGGAGGAATTGGGCAGGATCCTTCCCCCCGGTGGCCTTTGATCACCTCCTCTACCGGGCAGAGCACCCCTTCCCTCAGGCACAGATGGCTCCTGGACCCAGCTTTCTGTGCTCGTGTTGACCCCTGGAAAGGCCTCCTTCAGATTAGTCTCAACAGAGCCTCTCTCAGTCTTATGGATCTGTGCCCCTACCCTCTGCTGGCACAGAAAACAAGTGTGGGCATTTGTGCACTTATCTGAGGATCTGGCTTATTCTTAACAGTCTTGTAAATATCTTTGCCCTGGGGAAAGGTTATGAACCATAGATCTCAGGCCCATGGGGCACTGGAACAGTGCTCCTACCATCCATGTGAGGAGAGGGGCTTGGGGGTAGTAGCTCAGTGGCTTCTCTCCCATGTAGAAAAACAGGCCCGCAGCAGGGCACAGGGTAGTGCCAGTGGGATCATGGCAGCCAGTGAGCTACCCAAGGGCTAAACGGAGGGCTGCAGGGACCCAGGGGCTCAGGAGCAGAGCAGGGGCTGAGGAGCAGAGCAGGGGCTGGAGGCCAAGTTGAGCCCTCTTCACCATGGCTCCTTGCTGGACTTCCCTGAGTGGGTCCAGTGGTGGAACAGCCTTGTAGACCCACAGACTGAGGAGCCAGAGATTAGCAGTGGGAACGCAGCCTTTGTGGCCTGGTGCCTCAGCCCTGCCATGACTATGAGCTTGACTGAGGGGGAGGCCTCTGCCAAGCCTCAGGCACCAGCCTAGGCCCAGAGTATGGAGGCTTCTGTGGGGCCCTGAGGGTGTCCTCCATGTGGGTCTCTCTGCGGTGTGAACGCCCCTTGATCCCAAAGAGATAACAAAGTTTAAGGAGGGGGTTGCCATGGCCTCCCGGGCCCTTGGACTCTTTGGCCTCCTTGTCCACCAGGAGAACGGCTGGAGGGTATCCAGAACTCCACCAGGCCCTGGGAAAGTGGCCTCCTTCTGAGGCATATTCCCACCCACAAGGTCTCCGGTCACCTGGAACTTCTCACCATTCTGCACCTCGCGTCCCAGGAGACCCTCAGTCCCGACAACCTGGGATAGTTTATTGCATTACCTATGGATCTTTCCCCACCCCCCTGCCTTCCCCCAGACCTTGAATGGAAGTCTCTGCAGCTGAGTAGGGCTAGCCATTTGGTGACTTGACGGTCCCACAGAACCACTTTTCCTTCCGGTATCTAGCATGCTTCAAGCCCAGAAATGGCCCCAGAGAATGAATGGCACCCCAGCTCTCATATGCTAGAGATGGGGCGGGAGAAGGGTGGCAGGGGCCTGTCCCACTTTACCTTCCTGTCTAGTTGTAACCCTTACCCATAGTTTAATTCAGCACCTGGCTTGAGCAATGGACCCTAGTGTGGGGACCGGGAGTAGCTTGAGGGGAATGGTCAGGCGCTGGCTCCAGACAGGGAGAGCGGGGCCCAAACAGACCTTCTGGAGGTCCTGCCCCCCTAGGCTACCACCCCACAGGCAGCTGTTCCCTCATCTGTCTTCTCCCAGCAGTGCCTCAGAGCTTGTCTGCTGGCTCCTGCCTGGTGATTTGTCTTACTGGAAAATTGGGGTGGGGGACTCATTAGGCCCTGGCCTGACTCCCACAGTGCCTGCCTCTGCCTCTGCCTCTGCCTAGTTTGAAGTTGTCTGCTGGCTCCTGCCTGGTGATTTGTCTTACTGGAAAATTGGGGTGGGGGACTCATTAGGCCCTGGCCTGACTCCCACAGTGCCTGCCTCTGCCTCTGCCTCTGCCCATAGTTGGAAGCTTCGTGATTCCTGAGGACTTCGAGGAGCGCATGGAGCAGCAGTGCATCGGGTCCAGCACGCAGCTGCTGTCGCAGACAGACTTCCCACTCCAGGCCTATGAGCCCAAAGTGCAAGTACCCTTCCAGGTGCTGCCTGGCCAGCAGCCCCGCAAGGTGGAGATTGAGAGGTACAGCAGGTGGAGATGGGGGAGGGCTTGTCCTCCCTACATGGGATGAGAGTCCCCAGACCACCAGCTGACAGTCCCCATAACAGAGTCTGTGCGCAAGCACTGAGACCAAATCTTCCTTCTACCCTTAATGGGGAAAAGACTCTCTTAGGACTAAGTTCTCTTAATGGGAGAAAAATGGCTTTCCTTGCTGTGGAACTGGGGCGGGTGACATTGAGGTGACTGAAGGAGACAAGGGCTATTGGAGTCCAGGACTCTACCCACTGCCACTATCCCGCTTCTCTGAGAAGTCCCAGAGGGCCCCTGGGCCACACTCCTACCACAGCCCCTGGGCCCTTGCTGAGCCACCTCTTGAGCAGAGCGGCTCTGAGAATCTACCCCTGCCTTGGCCAGGAGAAAGCGGCAGTACCTGAGCCTGGACATCGAGCAGCTGCTGGCCAGGGCAGGCGTCAACTCCAACATGCTCATGCCCAGGCACCCAGACTCCCAGAACCCTCAAACCATCGAGCAGGGCCATGACCCTCTCTTCCCCGTCTATCTCCCCCTGAAGGTGAGCAGGCTTCCACGGATCACCAGTGGATAGAGGGGTGCAGGATCCTGCTGGGGTTCCTAGGCTGGAGTTGGGGGAGGCATGATCCCAAGGATGCTGGCTTTCTGCTCCTCTGGGAGCTGGGCAGCCTGTGTGCCTTACCTCTTCCCAGCCTTCAGGACTGAGAAGCAGCCTAGCTGGCCCAGGGAGCAGTGTACAGGACTCCCTGACCAAGGCTTGCCTGGGGGTGGGGGACAACTGTTTATAGGCTCACTGAAATGGGCAGCCAGCGATGGAGGAGGTCATCAGTGCTATCCCTTGGGGCCCAAATGGGGAAACTGAGTCTGAGGAGGAGAAACAGGGAGCTCTGGCTTTTATTCACTTCCTCCTCCCTTTCTATCTGTGCCCCTTAGTTTCTTGCACATTGGTCTCTGGGGAGGCAAAGCTGAATCCAGATGCACATCACCCTGCCAAAGGGTACCTCCTAGTGGGGTGCTCAGGAACCCCCAGAGCGACCTTTTTCTTGGGCAGGAGTTGTTGGTGGCTCCAGGACAGTGAGAGAGAGAGAGAGAGAGAGAGAGAAGTTCCCAGAAGTCCTCTGCCTGACCCTTGGGAGATTTAGAGCCATGGGTCCAGTCTTTCCCCTCATTCAGGTCCTGTGGACCCCTGAGAGTAGCAGAGAGGGATTCAGTGCCCACCTCTCTTCCATCCTTTGGCATGCTTAGCTCTCTACCTGGTCACTGGGGGAACGGCTTCCTCTAGCCCATCTGTTTCACAGGTTTTTGACAATGAGGAATTTGACTGCCGAACTCCCAGCGAGTGGATCAACATGGGCTTGGAGCCAGGGTCTCAGAACAGGAAACCTGTCCCTGGAAAAGCTCTCCTGCCCACTGATGACTTCCTGGGGCACGGTGAGCAGGGAGCCATGGGAGGTCAGGAGCCCTTCGAGGCCTCTCAGCAAGGATATAAGCCAAGGAGCTGGCCACACAGCAGGACATGCAGGGACCAAGGATGACATGTATAGTATAACTAGGCACTGCGAAGGTCACAAAAGTTTCTAGGGCAGAGGTGCTATTCTAGGTGAAGGTAATTCTCCAGGAAGGAGCCACTTGAACACAGAACAAACCAGGAATGAGGCTGAGTGAAGAATGTTCCAGGCAAAGGGCACAGCCGACGCATAGGCCCTGAAGCAAGAGCAAACTCAGGAGTCACAGGGATAGGCAGACATTCAGGGTGGCTGGAGAGGAGGGAGTGAGCGGGCAGTGGCAGGAGGAGAGCTGGAGAAGGGCCTCTGGGGAGGGCTTCGCCTTGGTTTTGGTCACTCTGCAGGTGCCCAGCTCACCCACGATACTGTCCCTGACAGGTCTCAGCAACTTCACTGCTTGACTGGAACTTTTGGCTCGTGTCTCTCTCTCCTTTGGTGAGGTCCTGTGGAGAGGCCTGGTCCTTTTGGTCCTCCTATGGCCTTGTTTTCCTCAGGGGCCAGCTCAGCTGGAAGGAAGCCAAGACAGAGGGGGTGTCGTGGTGGGAGAGAAGCCAGACAAGACCCCTGAGATCCATCCTAGCATCTGCTGTCACACTCAGAGGTCCCTCCCTACTCCTATGGCTGGAAGTACTGGTGGAGTGTCCCCCTCTTGTTTCAGAGGACCCCAAGAGTCAGAAACTGCAGTACGAATGGTGCGAGGTTGGCGTCCTAGAGTATGACGAAGAGAAGAAGCTGTACCTGGTACATAAGACAGATAAGAGAGGCCTGGTGCGAGACGAGATGGGGAAGCCCATCCTAAGTGGAGGGGTCACTGCCAAAGGTACGAGCTCTGCCTTGGCCCCAGGTGGACCCCCAGTTTGAGCCCAGCTGGGCCTGTAACAGGTCAACCCCACCAAGGGCACCACCAGCTGAATTCTACTTTTGTGGTTGTCTGTCGCCTGACCAGTGAAAACAGGGGACTAGGACTCAGTGTCCCCAGGAAGGGCAAGTGGCCATTATTTGGCACGCCTACTCTAGGCCACTGGCAGTGCCACTTTTAGCATGATACTGAAAAGGATCCTGAGGCCCATGCGTTAGTGGTGCCTGCGCTGGAGTGGACCACCTCTGTATAACCCTGTGTTTGATCTCTGCTCCTTCTTATAGTTTATGAAGCACTTCCACACCCGTCCCTGACCCCTCATTGAGAGGGCAGAGCAGGGAGCACCCTCATTCCCATTCTATACCTTCAACAGGGGGCCAGACAAGGGAAATCACTTGCTCAAGGTCACCACGCAGCAGTACCCAGGTGGGCCAGAACGCAGTGCTCTAGCCCAAACAACCTTGCTGTATGTCCCCTTTCTCCCTCTGTCCGGCCCCCAGGAAGGACACCTCTCCTGCTCTGTCAGTACTGGGTGCCGCGGATACAGCTTCTCTTCTGTGCAGAGAACCCTCATGTATTCACACAGCGTGTGGTCCAGGCCAGTGCTCTTCGAAAGGCCACAGAGGCACTGCTACGGTACAACCTGTATGTGGACTGCATGCCCTCCAGGGGCCAGCAACTCATCAGTGAGCAGAGCCTGAACAAGATCAAGCAGTGGGCCACAAACACACCCCGGATGCGCAAGGGTCCCACGTGAGTTTGTGGGGAGGTGGGGTACCAGTGGGGCAGAACACTGTCTAGGCTCGTCTGTGTGGGGTTTGTCCTCCTGCACTGTGGATTTGTTGGGGCCGTATCTTAGTTACTTTTCTCATTGCTGAGACAAAGTACGCAACATCCACAATCTAACAGAGGAAAAGATTTATTTTGGCTCACCGTTTGTAGAGGTTCTAGCCCCTTGTCAGCTGGTTCCAAGGCAGGGGTGCCCTGGCAGAGGGGTACTGCAGAGGAGAAACAGTCCATGACAGAGCAGGCAGGAAGCAGCAGTGAGCCTGTCTTCTGTCTGTCCCTTTATATTTCTCCCAGACTCCAAAGCCTATGGGTTGGTGTCACCCACACCCAGGAAGAGGCTTCCCTCTTCAGTAAATCCATTTGGTAAATCCAAATAGAGGACTGATCCGGGTATCACACAGCCCTAATCCATTTTCACGCACCAGCCGCCACTGAAAAGCTTCACCTATAAGCACATGAGGCTTTGAAGGTGCATCCAGATGCAAGCCATAACAGGTCCCAAACAGATTTGTGTTCATCTCTAGATCCCTCGTTATCCAGGTAGATTCCTGAATTCCTTTATTGAAGGTGATGTATAACCCATTTCTCTCATTTTTTCATTCCAATGCCTAAATTTGCTCTATGGGAGCCTCTTGAAGCTAATTCCTGTGTCCTTCTGAGGGGTTCCCGTCATTCTCTGAGCACGTCTTTACTTTCTGGTGCAGCGAGAAGTTCCAAGTTTATCTTGTACTTGCCAAGATCCAGCTTAAAAGTCAGATTTTTCTTCATTGAACCTTGGTTCCTTTTAGTGGGTAGTTTAGAAGCCAAGTTTAGGGCCTTAGATACATTCATTGCTATTGGGAAATCATTGCTTTGAGGTTCTTAGAGCAGGCAGAGCTGGGAAATTTTATGTGTACTCCATAATGAAAATTGCACACACAGCTATATCTTTTTCTGCATCTACTGATCTACCTGTTTAAAACCCTGAGTGCTCACTGATACCTTCAGACTGACTCTAACACCACTGAGCTCATTCTCACTATTAGGTATTTGTTACTCCAGTCTTCAAAAGAAAAATTGGCCTCCATTATTCAACGTATGTTGGCTTGTTTGTTCAATCCTAGAATACACAGAAGGTAGTCTCAAATTGCTACTCCATGCCTTTTAGAAGAAAAATTCTAGGTAGACTTTTAATGTCTTGGCTTAATATTCTTTTTAACCTGGGAGCGTATAGCACAAATACTACATTCAAAAGTTACTTGATTTGGTTCTCCCCACATTTTGGAAGAGCATGCTCTTCATTTTATGAAATACAGCTTGGTCATTTGTTTCCCATATATAAAAATGTATTAAATATATATACACATGATACGCATTCCATAGATATGCTTTAGCCATATTACTTATGTAGATAATTATATATGTGAATATTACTATATAATATCCCCCCTTTGGATATAAACACTACTCAGAATATGTATTATTCAATTGGGGACACACAGAGATCTGTCACTCTGTGCCCTCATTCACTTTATTCTGTTCACATTCTCCATCTTTTCCACGCTGCTCCTACCATGAGCGTATAGGTCGCCAATAACACTAGTTTCTGGTTTGTCTTTTCTATATTTCTTATTGCGCAAATGAGTTGACATATATAGTTTAGATACATTTTTATTGTCTTACAACTCCTTTCTTACATGGAGGAATATGTATGCCTATGCATACATGGCATAGAAACGTATACATGATATACATGAAGTACCATATATACGTGTATATGTAAAAAGTCTTGTGTACTTGCATTCTGCTCATTTACAATACGTCCTGGAAATCAATCCTTATCAGTTCAATGAGATTTTATTCATTCCCTTTTATAACTGCATAGTAATCCATGGTGTGGATTGCTATAGTCCAGTGATGGCAAACCTTTTAGAGACTGAGTGTCCAGACCGCACCCCGAAACCCACTTATTTATTGCAAAGGGACAACACTGCAATTAAACCTGAAGACTGAGATTTTACTTTAGAAAAAATAACGGATACATTAATATCTTTTGTCATAAAAGAAAAACACGGTAACAGAGCTTTTGATGATACAACTGGCACTGCTCCTCCTTTCTGATCATGTGCATGGCCCCTATATGTGACGTTATCCAATACTCAGCTGCTGGGGCGATGTCAGGACAGCTTGGCTTGCGTGCCAACAAAAGAGGGCTCTGTGTGCCCACTGCAGCACATATGCCAAAGGTTTGCCATCACTGCCACAGTCTTTTCACCCATTCTCCAATAAATAGACATTTAGGTCATCTGTAGTATTTAGCAATTACAAACAATGTGGCAAGATGGCAGCAGCCATTTCAGGAAGGTGCCAAAGTCCACTGCATTCTTTCTTGGACTGGAATCCTAGAAGCAGACTTTGATTCTTGTGCAAGTGATTTATGAACGAGAAGGAAACAGGGTATGATAGAGGAAGCACCAGGCAAAGATATGATTTAGAAGTCTAGCCACAGCCTGACCCAGGGGGATTCAGGAATATGAGCAGCACCATGAGACTGTCCCAAGGGAGGCAGAACAAGGACGCTTGACCTTTCTATCCCGGCACCCGTCACTGATCGTGGATGGGATGCGTGCCAGCTCCTGAGCCAGTTGCAGCCTGGGAAAACACCACCCCAGCGGCTCCATCTGACTCATGCAGTTGCACACCTGGAAGTGGTCGTCTTCCCTGAGTCAAATAAGAAGACTGGATTCTGGATAAAAACTGAGGAAGCAGGATGGAAGGCTCCATCTTGTACCAGGCAGAGGGGGAGGAAGGCAGAGCAGTGAACATGTCCAATGAACGGTCCGCTCCCCAGGGCCTTGAAAGCCGGCCAGGAAGACAGACAATGAGTGGGGAGAGGGGAAATGAGAAGGATTACGGTGCCATATGTGTATGTACCAAGGCCCCACCATGAATGTATTCATTATGGACCGCAAGCATGTACTAATAAAATAATACAGAAGACAGACAATGAAAATCGAGGGACTTGGGTCCGGATTAAGCACTGTGAAGACAGAGAGAAGGGAATACAGAGGTTTGAGAGGAGCTACTTTTATGATAGATGGCAAGGGGAAGCCTCGCAGAAGTTGAGATGAGCCCCAAAGATGAGAGGAGATGAAGATCCTAGCAGAGAGAGCAGCAGTGCAGAGCCGAGAGTTCGGGGTATTTGAAGAGCGGGATGGGGTTAGCAGGGCCGGAGTGGAGCGGGTGAGAGTGGACCACACCCGCGTGCTGTGGTGACACTTGGGTAACTGGCCTGCGATCTGAAAGAAGTCTCGGGAACTCTGAGCAGAGTGCGATCGTTTATGTTTAAAGTGCCTCCCCCACCCCATCCCAGTGGAGAATGGGTTGTACAGGGCCGGGTGGAGAAGGAAAATCAGTGAAGAGACTGTTGTCATCATCATCCATTGGCAGGAGCAGGACAGAGGTAGATATATTTGAGGTTTTGAGGGGAATGGGAGCAATGAGAGCCATAAATTGGTTAAATATTCCGAGTGCTCATACAGTAAAGGGAAGAGGCCAAGGACCCCAGAGGGTTTGCATCGGGCGAGTCCATGACAATCCTGCTTAAGAACCAAAGCAGACTGCCAGGGGGGCAGGAGTGGGGCAGGAGATGAACAAAAATGAAAAGATTGCTTTTTATCCCACCAGCTCTGACACACGATGACACACACCAGGTGGTAAGGCTGAGCGGCAGGTAGACACGTGAGGGGAGACTTGCAGTGCAGATGGATTTATGAGGACCAAATGTTCTAGCTCCAAGGCTGCATGAGGTGTCTGAGTGGCCAGCATAGGAACTGAGGCTTCAGCTGCCCTCCGTCCTGGGCCCTGTGTCTCTCAGGACCAGCCCGCCGCACCTCCAGGCAGGGCCCGTCACCTCCCAATTTCCCAAGGAGGAACCTGCGGCACAGAGGGCGGAGCTGCTTGGTCCTCCTCCCTGTGTCACTGTCACGGCCAGGCTACCAAGCCCTGCCCTCGTGTTCCATGCCGCCCACCTGCACATCCTGCCTGGGATGTGCTGACCGGGACTGGGGAAGGTACAGAAGGTCATCTAAGTCCGGAGCCCGGAGGTGTGAGTCAGGGCTGGCTCCGTGAGGGAAATGGCGCTTGAGCTGAGCCTGCGGGGCAAGGAAGCAGAGAAGTCTAGGTAGGGAGCCCAATATGAGCAAGGGATCGAGCAAAGTGTCCAGAGTGGGACACTTGGATGGCAAGGGCCACGTCCCATCAGGGCCCTTGTACTGCTGGCCACATGGTAACATGCTTTCCTTCAGTTCTTTACACGTGTATGCAGCGCCTGTGTGCTGGGCATCCTACAGAATGTCAGGCAGTATTTGGGACCCTGCAGAAGTGACCATGAGCTGGACCCCCACACACACCAACCTTCTCCCTGTGCCCAGTGTCCAGTGAGGAGGAGCCACTGAACAGTCAGGAGTGTCAACACAGGAGAGGGACCATAACCAGGGCTGCCATCAACCAGCAAGGGGTGAAATGTGCCCTGCACAGGCAGAAGCAGGGGCTGGGTAGATGAGATTGTGGCCCCCAGCATATCCAAGACGCTGGCTGAGCGAGGCCCGGTGCCTGCAGGTGGGAGCTATACAGAGATGGAGAGTGGCCTGCAGGGAGGAGCCAGCGGAAAGTCTTCTTAGTTTACAGGAAGGGATTTGGCGCTGCCTTAAGATCCTGGAACTCGGGGGCTGGTTTTAAGCAGACGGATGTGATCAGGTTGGAGTTTTATGGGAAGCGGATTGGATGGGGGGACGGAGGGACCCTGTACTGGGTGACTGAGAAGTGGGAACTTGATACAATGACCCAGAGCTGTGAGAGAAGAGGATGAGGCTAGAGGAGGTTAGTGGCTAGAGCCAGGCAGGCTGTGTCTGTGGATCCAGAGAGGAAGTCCCAGGTTTGTGTGCCCAGGTCCACATCAGAGCAGCCCTAGGACTGGCCCACAGCACAGGGTTGGCAGAGTGTGGGGCGTCCCTGACCTCGCCGTCTCCCTCTCCATGGCAGGGTCCTCGAGCACCTCAGCGAGCTCACCAGAGAAGTGATCCTGGACTATGAGCGCAGCATGAACAAGATGAGCTTTGACAGGATTGTCTCCTCCAAACCCGACACGTTCTCCTATGTGACGCTGCCCAAGCAGGAGGAAGAGAAGGTGCCCGAGAAGGGTAAGGGTCAGTGAACCCTACTGCCATCCACCTGCCCAGTGCCCCTCCCACCCCTCCCCCAAGGGTCGTCTGTCCTGCCTGACATTGTTCCGCTCGCATCCTGTCTCCAGCATTCACATGCTTCTTTCCTCAGCAGCCTGCAGAGCTCTGGTCAAGAAGCACCAAGAAGATGCCTTTAAAATATTTATCAGAATAATGCAGCTGTGCATGGTGGCGCCTCCCTGTAATCCCAGCTCTTGGGAGGTTGAGGCAGGAGAATTGCCACAAGTTCAAGGCCAGCCTGATGTACACAGCAAGGCCCTGTCTCAAAAACAAAGCAAAACAAAACAAAAAAATGCAGAAGCCGCAAAGTAAATGTGTACCCGGAAAGCTATGATTCAGAGATAGGTGACAAGCTGGGTGTGGTGGCACACACCTGTAATCCCAGCACTCTGGGAGGCTGAGGCATAAGGATTGACAATTAGAGTGCAACCAGGGCAATTTAGTGACTTCATGAGATCCTGTCTCAAAAGTAGATCCCAGAGGCTCTGATGGTCAAGGCCTCAAGGACCCTCCCCAGATACAGCCACCTGAAGGAATCCGAGCCGCAGCAAGAGTAGTATCAGTATGACTGCAGGCTCATGGATACGAGTCACAGAGCAGGTCCTCTGCCCCCAAGAGCCGTCTGCTTTGAGCTCACCCAGCCCTGCTGACTTCGCTTCCTGGATCTGGCTTCCAGTGTGTGCTAAGCCCAGGATGCAGGCTGGAGTGTGGACAGCAGGCACGCTGAGGGATCCTGGTGCCCACAGCTTCTCTCCTCGGGGGCTGAAGGAGGTTCCAGGCAGCCTGAAGGTTGCATGCCACCTGTGCCACAGGTGGGGGAAGACAGGCAGAGGGACTACAGTTGCCACCCACTTTTCAAAGGGACCCATGACCTGGGGCCCCTTCCATTCTGGAAGGAATCCCTCTTCCCGTCTCAGAGCAGGCAACTCACTGACTGTGGGAAAAGAAGGTTCGGGGAATAAGGCCGTCTCTTCTAGGGAGGAGGCAAGAACTGTGCCCCTCAGGCGTCCTGTAGATGTGTCCTGACCCCACCACCACCCCGGCGTGTCCCAGGCAGGTCTGACACTGGCCCTGGATTTCCACCCTGTAGGGCTGGTGAGTGTTCCCAAGTACCCCTTCCAGGAACAGAAGGAGGATTTCACCTTTGTGTCCCTGCTCACACGGCCAGAAGTCATCACAGCCCTGAGCAAGGTCCGGGCCAAGTGCAACAGTGTGACCTCCATGTCACTGTTTCATTCAACCCTCTCCAAGTATAGCCGCCTGGAGGAGTTCGAGCAGATCCAGTTGCAGACCTTGTCTCAGGTGCCTGGGCATTGGGGTACAAGGGTAGGCAGGGCCAGGCCCTTGGAGCTGACCAACCAGGGCCTCCAGGAAGCCCAGGGTCTCCAGCCACTCTGACTAGGTCTTGGTCTCGGTGTAGGCCTTGTTGGAGCCCAGAGTGGGGCCGAGGATGTGGCTTGCCTCTCAGAAAAAAGGGGAGCCAGGGTAGGCCCCCTTTCTAGTCAGGCCACCTCCACCCGGATTGCCTTGGGGTGAACTCTTGTCTTAAAAAGGGGAGCAGGAACTCCACCTGGTATTGGGGGGTACAGCCCCTAGTCTTTCTCCTCTGGGTGGAGGAAGGCCCTGCTTTTGTGTGTGAACCGCATCTCCCGCCCCCAGAAGCCCGGGCAGTGGAGTCACAGGAGGGAGTCAGCAGAGCTTGGGGGAGGGCCCTCCACAGCCAGACAGATTCTCTGCCAGAACCCTGGTGCGGAGAGTACTCAGCGTGACAGCTGTGGACAGTGGGTCCCTGATGCCCGTGGCCCTCCAGGTACAGATGTTCCTGAAGGACAGCTGGATCAGCACACTGAAGGTGGCAATGCGCAGCAGCCTGCGTGACATGAGCAAGGGCTGGTACAACCTCTACGAGAGTAACTGGGAAGTGTACCTCATGTCAAAGCTGCGCAAGCTGATGGAGATGATCAAGTACATGCTGCAGGACACACTGCGCTTCCTGGTGCAAGACTCGCTCGCCAGCTTCACACAGTTCATCAGTGACGCTTGTGGCAGTGTGCTCGACTGCCCCGACGACATGGCCTGGGGTGAAGACTTAATGAACAGCCCCTGCAGGTGGGGCCCAGCAGGGCCAGGCAGCTGCCTGTTCCTTCCCAGGCCACAGTGGCAGAGACAGAGCACCCAGCACTGCCAGGTCCTGGACAACTGGGCCCAGGTGGCCCCAAGGCTAGCAGACAATGTCCCACCAGCTCTGGCTGGCACTTTGGTCAACTTCATTCACTCAAGTAGTACTTGAGTGAATGTAGCTGACAATCTTGCTTTGAACACTTGCCATAAGTCAGGCGCAGTTGTAGGAGAACCAGAGATATAGTTCCTGCTCCACAGAGAGGCAGACAGCGAGTCATTAACTCTGAACCATCATTACTGATTTTGTTAAGTGGTGGGCACTAGGGGTGGGCCATTGCCAGGGGATCCAGGAGAAGATACATCTGAGCCAAAGCCTGAAATGTGAGAAGAAAACAGACACGGGAGGTGGAGGGACCAATAAGCAGAGGCACCAAGGAGAGCAAGGGCTTGGGTCAATCAAGAAGGGCAGGGTAGAAGATATGGCTACAGTAGGGAACTGTAGGGAAGCCCGATATGGACGAAGTAGGAGAAGAGAGAGCCTAGTCCCAACCATGGGGTCAACTGTCGGCTAGATTTATTCTAAGTGTGTCAGAAGCCATCGGGAGGGCCCTGGCTGGGATCCAGACTTGGAGGTTGTTGGTGTGGTGGACATCTGAAGTCAAGGGTGATGGGCTCCTAGGAGATCTTGGGGTCCGCAAGTACCTAGGGCCTAGCCAACCCAACCTGGTGACTTCAGGGTCTAGTAGTCATGTATGTGCGTGTTGGGGGTAGGTAGGGAGGGGGGTCTTCCCTCTGTGGTACCCAAGGCGGAACTTGGCTGGATGTTCCAGGTCTTCCTGGTGACTGTAGAGGATTCTGGGAGAAAGAAGGAGGGATGTGTCATGAATGGAGAAGCTCAAGAGCTGCAGTGCTGGCAGGAAGAGCAGAGGGTCCCCCTCAGACACCTGCTCATATTCAGCCCAGCTATAACCCCTCAGGCCCAAGAAGAATCCCCTGTTCATCATGGACCTGGTCCTGGATGGCTCGGGGGTGCATTACAGCACACCGCTGGAGCAGTTTGAGACATCTCTGCTCAATATCTTTGACAAGGGCATCCTGGCCACCCACTCCGTGCCTCAGTTGGAGAAGGTACATTACTGCAGCTGGTGGGATGGGGTACGGGCATCCTACCTCCTAGGCCATATGTAATCAGCCCTGTGTAATCCTCGCCACAAACTGAATTGTGATGATGGTTAGCAACCCACTCTGCAGACCTGGAGAAGTTCAATCATTAACCTACATCATGAAACTGCCAAGTATCAGAATGGCAACTGGAACCCAGCTTTCGCTGAACTAATTCTGTCGCATCCACATCTGGCCCAGACCCCACCCCTCTGGGTCCCGCCCCATGCCTGGCCTCTCTCTCCATCTCAAGAGCAGACCGTAGGCTAACTCCTACCCATGGGACCAGTGCCGAAGGTCCCTGCTAGTCACCACCACTGCACAAGCCCACTCCCCAGACACAGAGCTTCCATAACTTAGGATCCCTCTCAACCCCCCTGTTAGTCATTCAGAGCCATCAACAACCTGGTTGCCCCTTCTGCTCCTTTCATTGGCTTCCATTGGCACTGGGCTGAGACAGGCCAGGCAGGGGAGGATGCTCTCCCTCAGTAGGCCTCACAGTGGCTTCCAGCCTTGTATTAGTCCACAGTCCCCTCTAAAATACACCGCTGAAGCTCTGCCCCACGCCCACCCCATGCCCCCTGTGCCTGACCACACCTGCCTCTGCTTGCCCTAATCTTTGAGAAGACAAGTTCAACCCCTCTCCCTGCCTGCCTCGAAGTTCATCCCCTGCTGCTAAGTGCCAGGATGGCAACTGGAGTCCTGCTCTTGTAGACTAATTCTGCAACAGCCAGGTCTGTTGTTCCTTCTCTTGCAGCTGGTGATGGAGGACCTCTTTATCAGTGGGGACCCCCTGCTGGAGTCGGTGGGCCTTCACGAACCGCTGGTGGAGGAGCTGCGGGCCATCATAGTTAATGCTATGCATAAGGCCATGATCCCACTGCAGGCCTATGCCAAGGAGTACAGAAAGTACCTGGAGCTAAACAACAGTGATGTTTCCACCTTCCTCAAGTGCGTGCTCATATGTGTGTGCATGCATTCAAATCTGGCTGCCCCCTCCTGCCCTCTGCCCCAACACATGCATGCTTTTCTCAGAGCCTACCAGACGCAGTGCCCGTCAGCCCAGGAGGTGCGAGAAGCAGTGCTCATCCACCTACAGGAGAAAGATGTCCTGGACAACTCGCTGCCCAGTAGCATCATCATCGGACCCTTCTACATCAATGTTGACAATGTTAAGCAGAGCCTGTCCAAGAAGCGCAAGATCCTGGCCACTTCCGTGATGGACATCCTGGCCAAGAATCTTCACAAGGAAGTGGACAGTGTAAGTGCCACCTGCCTTGCCCCAGTGACCTCAGCAATATACAAACCTCCTTGCCTACATCATACACTTCCCCTACCTATCAAGATGTCCCCAGGCAGGGTTGGGGATGCCTGTAGATACCCAGGCTAAGGGAAGGAACAGGGAATCACCCTATCTGTGGGACACTATCCCCTATGGGAAGTTGCTACCTCCTCCCCTAGACTTGTGGAGACTTGGGAGGCCCTCTCACAGGACACCCTGTATGGTCTGTTTAACAGCACTGAGGCTGTGCAAGTTCAGGCCTACTTGCATTGGTGGGGCCAGAGGAGACTGGGAAGGTGAAGTACATGGGTGACGTTCTTGCCCCATGGGAGACCGCGGCAACCTAGGGAGCCTGCTGGAAGTGTCCCTCCCGGAAAGCACCACAGGATGTGGTGGTTGTGGCCGGACAGCTACCTGTTGAGGAGCACAGGGAACCTGTCATGAGAAATAGGCCCCAGGGAAGGGTAAGGAAGGTGCACCCAGCCCTCCCTAACACCTTCCTCCTACTACCAGATCTGCGAAGAGTTCCGCAGCATCAGCCGAAAGATCTACGAGAAGCCCAACAGCATTGAAGAGCTCGCAGAGCTGCGAGACTGGATGAAGGGCATCCCTGAAAAGCTGGTGGGGCTGCAGGTAAGGCTGGGAGCTTAGTGGGGCTGGAAGTCGGGGGGATGTATGAATTCTAGGTCGTTGGCAACATGGGGCTGGCTTTCAAGGACGAGGGGCCAGGGTAGGCAGGGCCTGGGAGATCAGGAGCGGAGAGGTAGAAACCCAGAGATAAGTGGGGTATAAGGTAGGGGTATGGTAGGGTTTGGGACCTGTGCTGTCTGGGAGACCAGGAGGGCTGAAGGTAAAGTTCAGGAGATTGGAAAGTGGAGGTGTGGTGGTCAGGGCCGTTGGAGGCCCTATACCTCCTGCTCTGTGCTTGGCAGTCCTTCCCTAACACCTGCCCACTTAGAAGAGCCTCATCCCAGTAACACTGCTCCCCAGCACAATTTCCTTCGCCACCTGTCCATTCAGGAGCGGATTGTGAAGGTCATGGATGACTACCAGGTCATGGATGAGTTCTTTTACAACCTTAGCTCAGATGACTTCAATGACAAGTGAGTGGGAGTGTTGTCCCTGACACTAGGGAGGTCGGTGGGCAGCAGGCAGTGGGTTAAGTGGTGCTGAGCTGTCGTGGCCTTCAAATGTCCCAATCATGTCATAGATGCCCTGTCAGGATGCCAAAGGCCATGACGGCATACAGGGGCCAGACCAGGCAAATTCAGGAGACCAGTAGGGTAGGAAGAAATCATTTTGGGTAAAATTTTCTTGGCTTAGGGACCCAGCTGCTCCTCCATCCCTGTGTCTGTACACACACACACAACATGTTCACCCTGGACTTAGAGTCCCAGTTTGTGAGTAGGGGACACTGAGAGAAGGCCTCACACCCTACACAGCCTCCCTGCCCCAGGCACCCCCTCTGGGGATGAGGCAGAGCCTAGCCTGGAATGCAGTCCCTAGGTCACCAGAAACCCTTACCGCAGCCTGCCTCACAGATGAGGTACAAGCTTCAGGACCATCGCAGGCCTGCCTAAGAACTCAAGACCCTAACAAGGCATGCTGGTGCTCAGAAGGGGCCCCCCCGCCGTGGCTGGCATCTCTAGGGCAGCTGCCAAGTGGAAACCCCAAATTCCATGGATATCAGCCAGGCAGAAAGAGTTGGTCTACTATGAAGGGAGCTGGCCTGAGGGCCCAGGTTGGTCACCAAGGACAGTCAGGCCGGAGACTGCTGTTTTACCTCATCTGCGGCAAGGCACTGGTAGTGCCTGGGGCTTGAGAGGGAACTTGGCTGCACTCCTTTCATTTCCCCTGCACCCTTGTCGTTGCATCGGGCACACTGGATCTACATGTCACTGGATGGAGACTGTAGTTTCCTGACGTTGGGGCTAGGGTGCCTCCTCCTCAGGGGCGGCAGTGGCTCCCTCCCAGTTCACTTGGACATCCCAGTTGCCCATTCCCAGCTGGCTGCTATCTGAATTCTGAATCCCCATCCCATGTTTCCCTCGACTCCCTGGATGCCAGACCTGGGCACCTGGCAGGGTGTCCCCTGCCGACCCTCTCTACCCCATCACCTCGGCCATGGCCTTTCCCCCAGTTCCCACTGCTCTTCTGTCCAGATGGGCTGCCAGCTTCTGGCCATCTAAGATCCTCAGGCAGATCGAGATCGTGCGGCATCAGCATATGGAGGATGAGGAGAAGTTCCGCAAAATCCAGATCATGGATGAGAACAACTTCCAGGAGAAGCTCGAAGGGCTGCAGGTCTGGCCATGCTTCCTGTGCATGGGACGGTGTCACGGTGTGATGGGCGAGCAGACAGATGAGTGGATGATCACTGAAAGAGTGAACCGAAAGACCAAGGATTGCCTGGACAGCAATCTCCAGAAAAATTAGGAGTCGTGGGGTCCAACTCTTCTGTTGTGCCCTTAGTGCCCCAGTGGGTAGTAGACAGCACTCAGGGTCCTGGATATGCCTCCCCCAGCCCTGCCACGTCACTATGGGGCACCTGGCCTGCCTGTGATGGGTTAGCAGCCTGTGCAGCCCAGGACTGTCCCCTCAGATCTGGGAGAAGTGGATGCCCACAGGGATTGGGTTCCCTGGTTATGTGTGTCTGAAATACATGGGCATGGGCATGGGCTGGGGCTGTACGGTTGTCCGACCCTTGCCACTTGGCCTTCAGCTGGTGGTAGCCGGCTTCTCGGTCCATGTGGAGATCGCGCGAGCACATGAAATTGCTAATGAGGTGCGGCGAGTCAAGAAGCAGTTGAAGGATTGCCAGCAGCTGGCAACGCTCTACAACAACCGCGAGCGCATCTTTGGCCTGCCCATCACCAACGTAGGCCTCCCCTGGGCACCCCCCCACACCGCAGGGCTTGAGGAAGCAGCTGTGTCTGCGCCCACATCAGAGCCCAGCTCCAAGGTGGTAGGACTCTGGCAGGACAGGGACAGGACTGGGCAGACTGCAAAATGGAGGTAACGCCACCTTGGCTGTTGGGAATAACGAGGCCTGGGCAGGAGGCCTCTAGGGTTCAGCCTCGGTCTTGCTTTATATATAGCTCAAAGCCCAGAGCGGGGTGGCGGGGGTGGAGACAAGAACAGAGGTAGCAGCCAGGGTCAGGGAGGGAGAGGAACAACTGGCCCAAGGAGGAGCAGCATAGAGAAAGCCTGTGAAGCTTTCCTTGACAGCCCCAGCCCTGTCCTCTGGCCCTGCAGTATGAGAAGCTCTCCAGGATGGTGAAGGAGTTCCAGCCCTACCTGGACCTCTGGACCACAGCCTCTGACTGGCTCCGCTGGTCCGAGAGCTGGATGAATGACCCCCTATCAGCCATCGATGCTGAACAGCTGGAGAAGAATGTCATCGAGTCCTTCAAGACCATGCACAAATGTGTGAAGCAGTTCAAGGACATCCCAGGTAGGTGGCCAAGTCAACCATCCTTCTCTCCTTGCCTGTGCCAGCTGCCTCTCACTCCCACTTGCCCTGTCTGACAGCCTGCCAAGACGTAGCCTTAGACATCCGAGCCCGCATTGAGGAGTTCAGGCCCTACATCCCGCTGATCCAGGGGCTGCGCAACCCTGGAATGCGGAACCGGCACTGGGATGTACTGTCCAATCAGATCAACATCAATGTCAGGCCCAAAGCCAACCTGACCTTTGCTCGCTGCCTCGAGATGAACCTGCAGGACCATATCGAGAGTATCAGCAAGGTGGCTGAGGTGGCTGGCAAGGAGTATTCCATCGAGCAGGTGGGCAGTCACCAGCAGGCTCCCCCGACTTCCGGCTCTTGTCCATAGTCACTTGGAAGGATGACAGTAATGGGCCCCATCCCTTTGGTCATCATGCCCAGAGAGAGATGCTTTCTACTAAGTGAGTTTATGTACACAGAGTGTGTGGCGTGGTGCCCGCCATTGCTGTTATCCCTCAGTTACCCCTTTCAGAATCTGGGGAGGGAAATGACTGTTATCCTCATTTAATAGATGAGTACGGGGGCACTAGGGGTGCAGCTCAGGAGCAGACTGTTCACTTGGCATAGGAGAGGCCCTGGGTCCCATCCCCAACTCCGCAGTCAGCCAATCAGTCAGTAACAGGTGAGTACCTTAAGGCTCAGGGAAGTTCAACAGTTGGCCAAGGTGACACAGCCAGTAAGTGTCAGAGCTGAGAGCAAAGCCTGCACTCCCACCTGGCACCTCTGCTGCGTCCCAACATGCATGTATAAGTGTGTCGTGCACGTGCAGCATGTGTGAGAGAGTGGGTTGGACCTGAATTTACACCAGAGCCCATGGGTAACTTGTTGGCCAGGTAAGCTGAGTACTTTCCAGAGGGGCCCACGCAAAGGTCATGGCCCCAGTTGGGTCTCTTCTTCCCTGACCAGTGCTGGCCAGACAGCACAATGACCAGCCCCTTCCTAGGACCCAGGCTTGATTCATCCTACTCACAGGCCCTGGACAAGATGGAGAAGGAGTGGTCAGCCATCCTGTTCAATGTGCTGCCCTACAAAGAGACGGATACCTACATCCTCAAGAGTCCAGATGAGGCTTCACAGCTGCTTGATGACCACATCATCATGACCCAGAGCATGTCCTTCTCCCCCTATAAGAAGCCCTTTGAACAGCGCATCAGCTCCTGGGAGACGAAACTGAAGCTGACCCAGGTGGGCCTTCCTCTCGGTCCTTCCCTCACCCTGCGTCACCCTCAACCCAACTCAAGTGACCCTCAGTGGCATCTGGTAGGGCTATGTTCACCAAGCTTCTGGCTCTTTCATTAGGCCCTCCTTTCAGAGGTGGATGAGTCTATCTGTCTGTGGACCTTAGCTGCTGAATAAAGGCAGGGATGTGGCAAGAACAGCATTTAGTTTAAAAACATGGCTGCCATAAGACTTCTGAAGGGCACTTTTGGTTTGGGACAGTCAGAGCTCCAGTATTAGAATTTGGGGGCTGGACACCATGAAGCTCCAGAGTTCCACACCCTTTCTCACCCTGCCTAGAGCGTCCCACTCCCACCTCATGTGGAGCTACCTTGGTGGCACGGGGCAAGGCACTGGGAACCACCCCATCTCAGGCTTTCGGGGCCAGAAGCAGAGGCTTCCTAGATCCCTGGAGGACAGTTCTGAAGGTGTGTCTGACTGTCCCTTTCTTGGGCCCCTCCTGGGAGCTGTTCAGAGCTGTTCTGGCCCCCATTGGAGGCCAGAGACAGAGTGAAGGGGTTCATCTGCAAGCACCCGCCCCCACCCACACAACTAGAGATACCCAAGCTGGGCCGCACTGTCCCTGGGTCCCCCCTCCTTCGCTCATGCTGTCCTTTCTGCTGGGGTTCTGTCCCCACCTCCTGAATCCTCCAGGACTCAGCACAAGCACTGGGCTGAGTCCCTCCACTCCTGCCTGCACAGTGCTCCCTGAGGCCCTCAGCAGGGCCTCTCACCCCGGCCAGCGCACAGGCTAGGTCCATGGTGACCCAGAGGAACTGGCCTCTGAAAGGACATGGGCTTCTCAAGGGCAGGGATTGTGTCCTCTTCCAGCTCCTCCTGTACCCACTTAGCCTGGCACAGGCTTGAGGCAGAGCTGATGTTGGCACACAGCTCCTTACGAAGAGATTTGAATGAATGAGTTTGCAAAGGTGGGAGAAGACACAGACAAAGACCAAGTGGGCAGTGGCAGGCAAAGGGGATGTGGCTCATTTTGAGGATGTCTCACCCTGGGACTGGTGTTTCACAGGGTATTTAGGGATCTCAAGTTCAAGTCCCAGTTAGCCTCAAAGAATCAGGGTGGGGAGTTCAGACCTGAGAGTTCTGTCTGGAGACTTTTCTTGGTCACCTCAGGGTGCTGGTTTGAACATGCCCTCTCACAGGGAAGAGTGGTGACCCTGGGTTCTGTAGAGGTGTGGGGTTCTCTGGAAGGCAGGCGCCCCACAACTCCACTCCCCGGAGCTCCAGGCATATAGCACCATCCAGAAGTGTTTGGGGGACCAGTGCCCTGGCCAGCAGTGTTCTGTAGAGGTGTGGGGTTCTCTGGAAGGCAGGCGCCCCACAACTCCACTCCCCGGAGCTCCAGGCATATAGCACCATCCAGAAGTGTTTGGGGGACCAGTGCCCTGGCCAGCAGTGTGATGAGGTGGAACATCTCAGCCATGGGGCTCAAAACCCCACTTGAACCTTGAGGCCCTTATGGTCCCTCTCTCACCGGCCCTGCCCACCCTGTCAGGAGGTACTGGAGGAGTGGCTGAACTGCCAGCGCTCTTGGCTCTACCTGGAGCCCATCTTCAGCTCTGAGGACATCACCCGGCAGCTGCCCGTGGAGAGCAAACGCTACCAGACCATGGAGCGGATCTGGAGGAAGATAATGAAGAATGCCTATGAGAACCAGGAGGCGAGCTGCTCTGAGGGCCCTGGTCACACTGTCGGGACTGGGGACAAGTCCCAGGCTTTGGTCCTAGCCCATCCTTGGGAGTAGGCTCCCCGGTCCCAGGGGTGCTCCCCAGGAGCCAGGCATGGTGGCACATACCTGTCATCCCAGCACACTGGAAGGCTGAGGCAGGAAGTTTGCAAGTTTAAGGCCAGCCTGGGCAACTTAGCTTAGTGAGATCCTGTCTCAAAATTAAAAAATAAACACAACAGTAATGTTTTTTCTCTTGGAGCTCCATAGTCCACATTAGATTTTAGAGGCCCTGACAAGTCCTGCAACAGAGCACTCTTCTTAGCTTTGTTTAATCCTCAATCTTTGACCTTGGAATTTTTCTTGTATGGGGCTGGTAGGGCTGATGGAGGCAGGCCCCGGTTTGGGGATAGTTCTCTTGCCCCTTCTTTCCCAGACCCCACTGAGGGTCCCTAGCTGCTGGGGACGCTCTGGTGAGCCTTCCTTGCTACCTCTCAGTTGTGCTGTGCTCACACTCCCTTCCCGCCCGGCCTGGGCCTGCAGGTGATCAATGTGTGTTCTGACCAGAGGCTGCTGGACAGCCTCCGGGACTGCAACAAGCTGCTGGACCAGGTGCAGAAGGGCCTCAGCGAGTACCTGGAGACCAAGCGCAGCGCCTTCCCCAGGTGAGCACCATGGCCCGTACCCACGTTGTCAGCATCTGCCCACGAGGCTGGGGCCTGAAGTGCCCTGGCGGAGAGTGCCCAGATGTCAGTGGTACTGGAGCTGCCAGGCCCAGGAAGCCTGCCTGAGCCCTCACCCATTCCCTGGCAGATTCTACTTCCTGTCGGATGATGAACTACTGGAGATCTTATCCCAAACAAAGGACCCCACGGCCGTGCAACCCCACCTGCACAAGTGTTTTGAGAACATCGCCCGGGTGGGTATCTGGGCCAGGGGCTCAGGGCCAGCACCTCTAGGGCAACCCCCAGGGAGAACATCTCTCCCATTGTGCCGACCCCTCTTAGTGGGGACCAGGTTATAAGTGAGATTCCCGGTCTCCAGCGACACATCCATGACAGGTGGAAAGATCAGCTACAGAAGTTCCCTCTGCTCGGGGCTGGGAGCCCTTGGCTTCTAATTCACCCAAGTGCTCCCTGTTTCCTGGCACTTTCGGGTATTGTGACCCTGAGGACCACACAGGTCTGAGCAGGACAGGGACACACAGAACAGGCCTGGCTTCCTTCCCCAAGAGCCCACTTCAGGCCAGGCCTGGCTGGGACAGGGGCAGCTGGGGAGCTGCGGGCCTATTCTTCCCACCTATGGCCAGAAGAGCCCAGAGCAGATGTGCCCAGGCCCTGAGCAGAGCTGGTTTCTAAAGTGGAGGGCACTGGAGGCTGGGGGTCAGCCTGGAGCGGGAGTCTGACTCACCCAGGTAACCCTGCTTTTGTCCCTGTCTCCCACAGCTACTGTTCCAGGAGGACCTGGAGATCACACACATGTACTCAGCCGAAGGGGAAGAGGTGCAGCTGTCCTTCTCTGTCTATCCCTCCAGCAATGTGGAGGACTGGCTGCGGGAGGTTGAGCACAGCATGAAGGCCAGTGTGCGCAGCATTATCGAGAGGGCCATCCAGGCCTACCCCAAGGTGAGCGCCCACTGTGCAGCCTGCCCGGCCCCTGCTCTGTGCCTCTGTCTATCCTGCCTCCACCTCCTCAGGCTGGACCCTACCACTGCAACACCAGGGGGGCTCAGGCAGGAACCTGGAAACTTTCCTCTCTACACACACTGGGGAAAGTGGGGTTCACTCCTACGAAGAATTGTAAACCCCATCAGGTGTATGCACTTGCCATGCTCCAGGCTCTCAGCCCCTCCACCAGCAGCCAGGCTGCAGGGGAGCCCTGTCCCTGAGGCCTTTCAGAAATGTTCTCTGCTCAAGAGCATGTGACGTGCAGGGGGCCAAGTCCAAGTCCGGATTTGAACGCAGACTGTATTCCCTGGTCATGCTCCTGCTCCAAAGTCTCATCTGCAGAGGAAAAAATGATTTTGCCCACCTGCAGGGGCCCCATAGCTTACTGGCTTCTCTCCTTTTGAGGGACTGGTAGAATTAACAGTTTGAACCCAGAGTTGGAAAGACCAAAGCACAGACAACATTCAAGGGAAGAAGAGAGGGAGAGTCAGGGCTGGCAGCTACCTGAGTCAGCCTGTCCATGTTGTCTCCCCAGATGCCTAGGACCCAGTGGGTTCTAAGCTGGCCCGGCCAGGTGACCATCGCTGGCTGCCAGACCTACTGGACCATGGAGGTGGCACAGGCTCTGGAGACCGGCAGCCTGGACATCCGACTATTCCCCCAGCTCTCCAAGCAGGTAGGAGTGAAGAGGGTCTCTGTTCCCCATGACCCTGACACCCTCAGGAGATCCTGTCGCTCTAGGATCTCTTTGATGCACAGCCTAGAAGAGGCTGAGGTTGGTTCCAAAAGACAGAAAGTCAGATACCCCTAAAATGAATGTCCCACAACAGCAGATGGGACCGGAGCCACATGCCCAGGTCCCTCATGGGCCATCCCTCAGGCTCCTCACCAGGCTCCACTGCCCACCCTGAAGGCTCAGATGGCACTTCATGCTACAAGGAGGTGGACGGCATGCCTTGCTTCTGTTTTTATTAACCTCCTCCCCGTACCTAGCTCCTGTTCTCCTCTCATCCCAGGTAGTCAGAAGCCCTTCGGACAGAGAAGCTATTCAGGGCAGAAGCCCACTCTCTGTACAGGGGAGGTGAGCCCCCTTGGACCCTGGGTCTCTGACAGTGCTCTCCATCCCTGCAGCTCAGTGAGCTGGTGGCCCTGGTACGGGGAAAGCTCTCCCGCATGCAGCGGGCAGTGATGTCAGCGCTGATTGTCATTGAGGTCCACGCCAAGGAGGTGGTGAACAAGCTGATACAGGAGAATGTGGTCAGTGTGAATGACTTCGAGTGGATCTCACAGCTCAGGTGAGCACGTGAGGGCCACCCTGGGGCACCAGCAGCTGCCAGGACAGAACCAGGGAGGAGTGGACAGTCAGTTACAGTAGACCTGTCCCTGCTTTCCAGGGTCTAGGACAAGTTGGGCAGGGGGATCTCAATGCCCTCTCTCCTCAAGACAAACCCCTATCCTTGACTACATACCTGCCAGGTGGCCCATGGCCCCATGGCCAGGAACTCATCTCACACTGGCAGGTACTACTGGACAGATAATGACCTGTACATCCGGGCTGTGAATGCTGAGTTCATCTATGGCTACGAGTACCTAGGCAACAGTGGGAGGCTGGTGATCACGCCCCTCACTGACAGGTGAGGATCACCCTCCCCAGATGGGTCTTAAGGAAGGGAAGGCTATTGGATCCAGGTGGGCCCTAAACAAAGCTCTACAGGGCCATGGAGGGGGCAGGAAGAGCTCTGGGCAGGGAGCCTCTGGCTGCAGTCCTGACCCCAGCAGCTGGGGCTGGGCTCACCTGGGCCCTGAGAGGAGGAGCTCCCTGAGGCTGTGGGAATCCTCAGAAAGAAGGTGTGCCCGGTGGGTGCACCTGGCACACATACAGCCAGTCCCCACCTTCTCTCACTCCTGCAGGTGCTATCTGACCTTGACCGGAGCCCTGCACCTCAAGTTTGGAGGTGCCCCAGCTGGCCCAGCTGGCACAGGGAAAACAGAGACCACAAAAGACTTGGGCAAGGCCTTGGCCATACAGACAGTTGTGTTCAACTGCTCTGACCAGCTTGACTTCATGGCCATGGGCAAGTTCTTCAAGGGCTTGGCCAGGTAAGGCTGGATGTGAGGTGGCAAGGACAGGACAGGAAGATGGGGCCGTCCCCCAAGGGAGGGGGCTGGGTAAGGAGCCTCAGAGCATAGGAGAGGGACAGGAGTCAAGGGTTAGCCTTGGTGGGCACCGGAGTGGGGGCAGGCAGTGGGACTGCAACTGAGCTGCTGGGGATTCCTCCTCAGTGGAGTCAGAGGCAGCCCTTGGAGGGAGGCAGCAGGCTGGCTCTGAACACATGCCCCCCGCCCCACACTCTGGCCTCGCTTAGTGCTGGGGCTTGGGCCTGCTTCGACGAGTTCAATCGCATCGACATCGAGGTGCTGTCTGTGGTGGCGCAGCAGATCACCACCATCCAGAAGGCGCAGCAACAGCGGGTGAGCTGTGGACCACACAGGGCTCTCCCCACGCCCTCCACACCACCCTGACCACCCGTGCCATCATGCGGCTCCCATGCTGCAGGGCGAGAGGCCAGACACTGGGGCCTGCCTGGGCCAGCCCATCTCACTGTTCCCTCACCACTCTTGTGAACAGGATCCAGAGGGCACTTCCTGGGATGTATGGGCACCTCCTGGGCCAATCTGTGGCAGATCAGGGGGTACAGTCCTATGGCCCTATATGCTGACCCTCAGGGAAATCCCTTAGCATTGGCTTGTTTATAGCCAGGGATCTTAAGAGCTGAGAGGCTGGCAGGTAACCCCACTTAGTCAGGGCGGAGCTTGCCTAAGTCTGGAAAGTTCGGGGTCAGGAATTAGGGTGGAGGGAAAAAGAAACAGGAAATGTGCGGAGGCCTTAGGGGGCTAGAACTAGGACCTGGAGACCTGAGGTCTTAGGCCGGATCCTGAAGGAGGATCTCCCCCACAATCAGGATACCCAGTCCTAACCAACAGGCTGCCTCCAGGACAGGGGTACCGGCAGGGCATGAGGTGGCCTTTGGGTGGATACCTCCTCTCCAGGTGAGATGACAACCCTCTCCCACAGGTGGAGCGCTTCATATTTGAGGGCGTTGAGATCCCACTTGTACCGTCCTGTGCAGTGTTTATCACCATGAACCCAGGATATGCTGGCCGCACTGAACTGCCTGACAATCTGAAGGCAAGTTCGAGCTCAGGTGGCAAGGAAGGCCTGGGCTCTGGCACATCAGGGACTGTAGTTCCCTAAGGGAGCACCCCTGCCCAGGTTCTAAAGTGCTGCTCTCCCCATAGAGGAGAAGCCCTAGACCTGTCCTCAGGTCATGGGGGGAGTCACGGCTGCCCGTCCCTGTGAGGGCCTTCTGACAGGAGCTGCTATGCTGGGCCTGCAGGGGAAATAGGGAGCCAGAGGGGCCATCTCCTGGGACTTACAGGGAAGCAGGCTCAGATCAACACAAAGAAACTGTTTCTAATGGCCAGAGTCATCCAGCCACAGGGCAATGGAAGGCCCAGGCTGGCAAGTGGTACAGAGGGGGACCCCAGCCTTAGCTGAGGGGGGATGGGAAGCTGCCTGCATAGTCCAAGAATGGGTGGCGCCCTGGGGTGGGGAATGAGGCCTGCCCTCCACTCACACGTGTGCCGCATGCACAGGCACTCTTCCGACCCGTGGCCATGATGGTCCCAGATTATGCCATGATTGCCGAGATCTCCCTCTACTCCTTTGGCTTCAATGAGGCCAGTGTGCTGGCTAAGAAGATCACTACCACCTTCAAGCTGTCCTCTGAGCAGCTCAGCTCCCAGGTGAGGCTCCTGTCACTTTCCAGTGTCACCACAAGCAACTCAGCCCCCAGACTCCGTTTTCTGATCATCTACTTTGAAAACTACACACACACACACGCAAACACACACATTCCATTGAAATAACTGTGCTCGATGGTTCTGAAAGTGCATGCAGCCCTTTCCAAGTGGTGATGAGTCACAGTCAGGCCCAGCCTCTTCACACAACTTCAAGATCAAGATTTCTAGGTTGTGTGCGGGGCTGTGGATCAGGTCTAGGGTAGCTCCGATGGTCTAGCACCACAAGGCGGAATGAAGCATTTAACTATTTCTAGTAAACCTGTTACATAATGGGGAGAAACAGAGCCAGCAGGAAAAGCCACAGCCATGTGGCCCAAAGGTTGGGTCTGAAGAGAAGTTGCAGAGAATGTTAGTAGGACACTAAGAGACCAACAAGGCCAACCCATTTATTGCCCAGATGAAAAATTCCTTCATGTACTTTTTTAGTACAACTTGAATCCCTCCCTGCCCTTGGCACTGTTCTGGGACTACAGAGACTTAGCAGTGACCGAGGCAGAGTGGATCAGGGGTTGCAGAAGAGGTGACTGATAAAGCAAGAGGGTGCTGGGATGGGGAAGTGGAAGGTGTCCAGGGCACCTGGCCCAGGCTGGGGCATGCAGAGGATGTGCAGGGGAAGTGACATTTCAGCTGCAAGGTGGGAGAAGAGGTGTGGCCAGTTACCAGCTGGGAGGCAGAGTGTTCTAGGCAGAGAGACAGGACCCACCCCTGCCCACTCCTGTATGGTGTTGGCAGGATCACTATGACTTCGGGATGAGAGCCGTGAAGACCGTGATATCTGCTGCTGGGAACCTCAAGCGAGAAAACCCCAGCATGAATGAGGTGAGTTCTATCCAGCAGGGGTCCCAGCGAGAGGCTCCAGGAGGGCTGGAGGCAGCTGGAGGGGCACCTGCCCTGTTTCCTGAAGCCTGTACTGGCACCTGCTGCAGGAGCTGATCTGCCTCCGGGCCATCCGGGATGTGAATGTGCCCAAGTTCCTGCAGGAGGACCTCAAGCTCTTCTCGGGGATTGTGTCAGACCTGTTCCCCACCACCCAGGAGGAGGAGACTGACTATGGCATCCTGGACAAGGCCATTCGCAAGGCCTGTGAGAAGAGTAACCTGAAGGATGTGGAGGGTGAGCCACTGGCCCCTGCCTTCCTGCAGGCCTTTGGGTGCCTGAGACAGGGCTGGCTGCAGCCACCTTGGAGTCCTGGGCAGAAGACAGGGACAGGGCAGCACCGCCCTCACATCTGGCCATGTTTGTGCTTGGGCTCTTGGCTAAGCAGTCCATGCACTGGGAAACGAGTGCTGTCCCCTTCCTGTGACCTCACGATGTAGGAGCTCCTGCCCACGTGAAAAGCAATGCCCTCTTGGTATTGCTCATCGGGTGCCAGCCTCTCCCTGACAGGCCCTCCCAGTCTGCCCCTCCCTGGGGCCTAGGAAACTGATGTGCCTTTGTCCAGTCCTGTGAGGCCTCTCCCGGTGCTTTCCACTACTCCTTAGCTCCATATGTGTTTCTAATTCTCTCTCAGTCCACCTGTGCCCAGACCCCAGCAGGCTTATGGAATAATAAGACTCTTCTTTCTCTCACATCCTTAGCTTAGCTTTGCCACCCTTGGCTGATTGGACTTTATCCCTTTAGCAGAGACTCCCCGACCTGCAATGCCACAGCCACCACCCCTTTGGGCTAAAGCATTGTGCCCATTCTCTATCCATATGCCTGGACCTTTGCCTGCAACTGGCAGCTGTCCCTAAAGCTCCCCAATCCTACGATTTTGTTCCTAGCTTTGTGGCTCCTTTGGCCAGAACCTGGGTGGTGCTCTCAGCAAGTTGGGACCATCAGCAGCTTTGGGTCAGTTAACTATGGGGCCTATGACAGCTGACACCATGCAGCCCTGTGAAACTGACCATGCAATCAAAGGGTTTTAGGAATGGGTTAGAGGCTTGCATCCCGGGAGCTCCTACCTGCACCTTTAGGGCTTCACCTGCCCCTACCTATGAGGTAGGTGCTACCAGTATCCTCATTTTACAGAGGAGGAAACTGAGGCTCAGGGAGTGAAGTGATTCACCCGAGGTCACATGAGTCGATGACAGAGCCGGGACCCAAGCCCATGCTGACTCCTTCTACCATGTCCCCCAGGCTTTCTGACCAAGTGCATCCAGCTCTATGAGACCACAGTCGTGCGGCACGGCCTCATGCTTGTTGGACCCACAGGCTCTGGCAAGAGTTCCGTAAGTGGCAAGCACAGCAGCCTAGTGCCTGGATGATGGCCTGAGGGGTGATGCCACTTCCAGAGGGTGTTGGCCTCCATCTGTACCTCTTCGGCTGCTAGAGCATCCTGTCATTTCCTGTGGCCCCCAAACCATCTAGCCCTCCTCTCCGGGGAGCCAGGAAGGTCACTCTTGGATGTCCATCTCCCCAGTGTTACAGAGTTCTGGCAGCTGCCCTGACATCGCTGAAAGGGCAGCCGTCCATCAGTGGCGGTGTGTATGAGGCCGTCCACTACTACGTGCTCAACCCCAAGTCCATCACAATGGGCCAGCTGTACGGGGAGTTTGACCTGCTCACCCATGAGTGGTGAGTGGCCCCCAACCCCCATCCAGTGACCACTCTGCTCCCAGGCTGTAGAGGCAGTGTGGGCCCTGGGTCCTCCTCTCCCTCCGTGACGCCAAGGGCAGGTTGGGAGCTCAGGCTGCCCAGCCCAAAGCCTGAGATTCTGTCCACCTTCCCACTTCCTGGCTGTGTGACTTTCCTCTACCCTTTCCCTTGGTTCCCTTCTCTGTGTACTGAGGACAATGGCGCCATTATTATGGTAAGGCAAGGATGAGCTTAACACCTGGAAAGTGCGTGGAACAGTGTCTGGCACATAGTAAACTCTCCGCAACTGTTTGCTGTCATTGCCCTGAGAGGCCCTGGCGTGGTCCCAGGATAGGATGTGCAGTTAGGGGAGGTGCATTGAACTGGGAGAAGAGCGACTAGATGGAAACTCCTTGAACATCAACACCTGAGGTCTTTTCTCTGGAGCTCTTCTTTCTCCAAAGAAGAGCCTTCATTCTCCTGCTGGTATCTGCTTGGCTCCAGTATCAAGACCATTTAGGGGGTGAGCACCAGGAAGGGGAAGAGAGTTCCCCATCTTTCTCAGTGGGGGCCTGTACTGCTGCCTGCCTTCCTGGTGGAGGGTCTCACCACACCTACCCCAGTCTGTTATGTGGATGGGTAGAGGATCTGCAGGTCAGGCCATAAAAAAGTATTTAATGCTACCTTTCAAAGCATCAGGAAAACTATTCAGGATCATTACCGCAGGTGTAGGGACCACTGCTTCCAGATCATGCAATGGGCGAGAGAGACTGGGCTCAACTCTGAGTAGGGGCAAGTGGGAATTTATAGCCAAGAAGTAGTGTAGGAGTAGAGAATTACTAATAGGACATAGTGGTGATAAGAGAGATCTGGCTAAACCAACTGTGCAGGATTCTTGCTAAAGACAAACCAGGTGATTGGAACTCACCTGAGAGGAGTGAGGAGTAAGATGAGAATCCGATGAGATATCAAGGTGGATCTGGCATCCAACCTAAACTGACTTAGCGGTGCTCTGTGCAGAAATTAAATTTTACCAAAAAGTGCGCAATTCGGCCAAGTAGAGAATTGTTGTAGCCCCCGCCCGCCCTTCCTTGGCATGTGGACCCTCTGCAGTGGAGCCTCGCTGATTCTGTGGCAGGGCTTGGTCTGTCTCCAGCTCTTTCCTCCTTCCGGAATTGTGTGCTCCTCCATCTCTGCTATTGCACCGCCCCTCAGTTCCCTTTTTCCTGTCAGGGTGCCACCACTTCTCTTCCTGTCCTGTGACTTCCTGGGGACTTAGCAGGGTGGGGATATAAGCATGCTTTCCCTCTACCGTGTTACAACAAAGAAGTCCATTTTCCCTATTGTAATTTGTGTAAAAACAAAATGAAGATACTGAAGGAGAAGAAATTGTAGACTGGGGCCAGTTGGGCAGCCGGGCTTCCCCACCTTCCGGTACCTATAGCCCTCTCCTCCCTGGCGGCTGCAGGACAGATGGGATTTTCTCTTCCCTCATCCGGGTGGGGGCCATCACCTCTGACACCAACAAGAAGTGGTACATGTTCGACGGGCCGGTGGACGCTGTCTGGATCGAGAACATGAACACAGTGCTAGACGACAACAAGAAATTGTGCCTCAGCTCTGGGGAGATCATCAAGCTCACAGAGGTGCACCCACCTTCCTGCCCACACACTCTCCCACAGCTGGGTGGGGCCAGGCTATGTTGGCCAAGTCCTAACCCCCTCTTCCCTGCCTCACAGGGCCACAACTGCATCTCAGGCTGTCACCCAGCAAGAGTTCAGACTCAATTCCCAGACCCCTCCCCAACCCTGAAGGCCCTCACCTCAACCCTGACCTGCACCTACCCAACAGTGTCCCTTCAGCCACTTCCTGTGACATTCCAAGCCCAAGTCCGGGACAGTTACCCCACTGCTCCCAGCTGATACTACCTCATGCCTCCCAGGCCCACTTGAGCCATGCTAACCCAGTCTGGACCATGTATCCACCCAGGCCTGGCAACATGCCCAGTATCTAGGGAACAAGGGGCACAATCCTGCCTGCAGGTGCTTGCACAGTATGTGAGGAGCAGTTCTTGAGAAAGAGGGCTATGGCCTGGGCATGAGAGTACTCCACGGTGTGTACCCTGAGCGGGGCTCTGAGACGACCTGTGTGCATGGTGGGGGGCCCTGAGGCACAGCATACAGTTCCTGTTGGATTTCCCAGGTCTCCAGGAATCCCGGACTGGCCAGAGAATCCCAGGAATCTCCCAACTTTGGCTTCTCTTCAGCTGAGGGCCCAGGGTTTCCTGTACCTCCACCCCAGCCCTTCCCCCCATGGCCTGCCCACAGATCCCTCTGCCAGGATGGGCAGCCCCTCCAGCCCTTCCTATGGCTCTGAGCCTTTCTCTGGCTCTGAGGGCTGGGAGCTGGCGCTTTCACATGGTTCATTTTGGTGCCAGGTGATGACCATGATGTTCGAGGTGCAAGATCTTGCAGTGGCCTCCCCTGCCACAGTGTCCCGCTGCGGTATGGTGTACCTGGAGCCCAGCATCCTGGGGCTCATGCCCTTCGTTGAGTGCTGGCTGAAGAACCTCCCTTCCTTGATTAAGCCCTATGAGGAGAATTTCAGGACACTCTTCGTCAGCTTCCTGGAAGTAAGCAAAGACCACAGGTATAGCCAGCCAGGTAGGCAGTAGGGCACTGTGCCCACCAGCCATGAGAGCCAGGTACTCGCTCCCTGTAGGAGTCCATCTCCTTCATTCGTTCCTCGGTAAAGGAGGTGATTGCCTCAACCAACAGCAACCTGACCATGAGCCTCCTCAAACTGCTCGACTGTTTCTTCAAGCCCTTTCTGCCAAAAGAGGTACTGCCCCAAACAGTGGGCCTGCATCCCTCCTGCCCCTGCTCTCCTTGCTGGGCTACCTGAGGGCCCTGGGTCCCAGGTCTAGCTTCCTGGTCCAGGAATCAGATTGGCTCAGTGTAGGCCATGGGACCACTCAGTCCATTGTGCTGTGGAGAAACAAAGCCATGACATGTTCCACCCCACTTTCCTTAGGCCCACCGTGCTGTCCTCAAGTTAGCCTGACGCTGTTCCCTCTGTCCCCAGGGTCTCAAGAAGATGTCCCCTGAGAAGCTGAGTCGCATCCCAGAGCTGATAGAGCCCTGGTTCATTTTCTCCCTGGTCTGGAGTGTGGGTGCCACAGGAGACAGCAACAGTCGCCTCAACTTTAGCCACTGGCTCAGGATCAAGATGATAAAGGAAAACGTGAGCAGCAGCACCCCTTAGGCCGGGTCATCCGGGTCCAGTAGCAGGAAAACCTGCTGGGCTTCATGAGCTGTGTTCCCTCCTGGCCCCCACAGATGACTCTGCACTTCCCAGGAGAGGGACTGGTGTTCGACTACAGGCTGGAGGACACTGGCATCAGCAGCACTGAGGACGATGAGGAAGAAGAAGAGGAGGGCAAGCAGGTGGCCACAGGCCTGCCCAGGGTCCACGGTGGGACGCCCCCCACCCTCGGGCAGTGGTTATTCTCCTCAAGGAATAAGCACCATAGAGAGAAAGGCACATCAGCAGCCCAGGTCTTAGGCAGGGAGTTATTCATAGCACCTCACCCAGGCCTCGTGCCAAGGCCCAGCAGTGCAGTTCCTTGCCTTCCCACTGCCAAGTGCGGGGCTCAGGGTAGGAAGAGGTTCCAGGCCCATCCTGAGCCATATCCGGTTCCAGGTTGCCTGGGTGAAGTGGATGGACTCCTCAGCTTCACTCACCATGGTTCCAGATACCAGCTACTGCAACATCATCGTGCCTACCGTGGACACGGTGCAGATGTCCTACCTGCTAGGCCTGCTGCTCACCAACCACAAGCCTGTGAGTACCCCCGGACACACCCTGCCTCCGCCTGTCCCAAGGCCCAGGTCTCCCATGGCAAGGCAGTAGCCCCTCTGTGCACCAGCTCTGTGTGCACTCGGCCTGCCCCAGCCCCGCTCTCCCAGGTGCTGTGTATCGGGCCAACGGGCACAGGGAAGACACTTACCATCTCTGACAAGCTCCTCAAGAACCTGCCGCGGGAGTACATCAGCCACTTCCTCACCTTCTCAGCCCGCACTTCAGCCAATCAGACCCAGGACCTCATCGACAGCAAGCTGGACAAGAGGCAGGGCACCGCTCATTCCTACCTCAGCCCAGTATCCCCCAGCCTGGCTGAACCACTGCTGTCTCATCTCTCCACTAAATTATACTCCTGGGTTTACCAGAAGCCTCTCCAGAAGAGGCCAGGGCCTCCCAAAGGGCCCTAAGTTTCCTTCAAGACTGCTCCAAAGCCTTCCCCCGGCAGGCGTCCTCTGCAGCCTTCAGTGGGTGCTTGTCCTGTTCTGGGCACCTAAGCAGATGCCTGTCACAAGGTGCTTATTATCTACCTGCCTGGGAAGCAAGGCTCCACTAAGAGAGGTCAGATGCAGGCCCACTAGTCCATAAGGTCCCAGGATACCAGAACAAGACAGAGGGCTGCTTATGAGATCTCACAAGGTTGAGGAGGCCGAAATTTTGTGACAGTCCCTTGCTGCCTCTGGATTCCTAGAGGACCTGATGCCCATAGGTGCTGGGCTCACACACGCTCCCCACCAACAGGCGGAAGGGCGTGTTTGGACCACCTCTCGGTCGCAACTTCATCTTCTTCATTGATGACCTGAACATGCCGGCCCTCGAAACATATGGTGCACAGCCACCCATCGAGCTGCTGCGCCAGTGGATGGACCATGGCGGTTGGTATGACCGCAAGATCATTGGTATGTGCCAGGCTGGGCCAGTGGGGAAGGGTGGAGGCAGGGGGATGGTAGGTGTGGACTGAAGGTCCCACACTACTTTTAGGGCCAATAAAAATGTTTCAGTTTCTCTGAAATCAGAAGAAATGAGCTTTTAGGTCAAAGAAAAAAATTATATCTATTAATATTTGTCTTTATAACAGTACTGTTGTAAATCATATATTTTTTGGGGGGGGTGGGGTGGTACCAGGGGATAGAACTTGGGCCCTTGCACTTGGGAGGCAGGCAGTGGAACCACTGAGCCAAGCCCCAGGCTGTAAATTATAATTTCTAACATATATCCTGCACAAGAAGGAAGAAAGCCAACAGAAACCATGATGCATTTCTGGGCAGGGCCCTTCCTGACATCCTGCCCCCATTCAGGAGCTTTCAAGAACTTGGTGGACATCAACTTTGTCTGCGCCATGGGCCCTCCAGGTGGGGGCAGGAATGCCATCACCCCGAGGCTGACACGTCACTTCAACTACCTGTCGTTTGCTGAGATGGACGAGGGCAGCAAGAAACACATCTTCTCCACCATCCTGGGCTCTTGGATAGGTGAGTACAGTGCAAGCAAGGGAGTCCATGGGCAAAGGCAGAAGCCCAGGCCACATGGAGGACAGCTGGGTGGCTGCTGGGGAAGACCACATAGCCTAATCACTAATGGTTCAAGCTGTCACCTTTGGCAAGCTTGTGAGCCACTCTGAGCCTCAGTTTCTTTACCAGGTTAAGGACGATGTGGCACACAAAGCGTCTGGCATGTGGCAATTGCTGAACAGATGATAGACACGATACATATGTATCTATATGGATTCAACACGCATCTATTAGTATTTGCCCAGGAAAGATGTTACTCTTATAAATCAGGAAAGCCACAAGACAGCAATGAATAAAGTGGCCCTGATCTTTCCTGGGAGTTGAGGAAAAGTCTCCCACTGACCCACCTCCCTCCCGACACACACCCTGACCATCATCCTCCACTTGGTGCTGAGCCAGGTGGTCAGTGATGGAAGTCAAGCCTTTCCTGCTCTGGCCTGGCCCGCCCTGTCCCCAGAGCTATATTGGGACTTCCCTGCCTGTCCAGCTTGGGGTGAAGGGGGTCTTTGCTCTTAGGAGGGACAGGGGCTGGTCTGTGGCTGCTTAAGGAGCTTTCCAGCTGGACACATCTAGCCAAGGTGAACAGCAAGAGGCCCACCTAACTCTGAGCTCTGCATCTCTACTCTAGATGGACTACTTGGAGAAAAAAGCTACCGAGAGCCTGTGCGTAAGTACAGCTGGGCAGGGGCCAAAGGCCCACAGGGAGGCGGGTGAGGCTGAGCTCTGGCTAAGCATAGGACCAGGGGCCATAGAAGCCATCCTTAGGCTCACAGGGCTCATTCACCGCCTCATTCTTACAGCCTTCAGTGCCTGGGCCAGTATCTGATAGCAGATGCAAAGTAAATGCAAGATGAAAGAATGAATAAAGGAACCCAAAAACTCCTGCCCCATGGGAAGAGCCAGAGCTCAAAAGAAAGCTGGCCTGCTCCAAGGAGCAGATATGAGTAGGAGAGCCAGGACTGATTAGCATCTCAGGGAACAGGCATCTCTTGTGTGGTGGCCTCATGCAACTCTGTTGGTCTGTCGATCTGTCAGTCACCACCGCAGAGCCACAGGCCGCCTCAGGCGCTGTCCTGTCTACACGTCCACCTATTCCCTCCATTCTCTCAGCGTCAGGAAGCTATCATGCTCCCTCTCTGGGCCTTCTGCTTACCTGCATCCAGCCTCCCTCTTGGCTGTGCCCTCTTGCCTTCGAGGGTAGACTTCCTGTTCTGGTGCAGGCCAAGTCTTCTGGGCCCCCTGGAGAATGGGATCCACTCCATCCAACACCAGTAGCCCCTGCTCCTCTGGGCCATCTCATCACCATACCAACATGTCCTGCTTTCTCCCCTCTGACCCAAAACACAAAATGGCCTCTCTTGGGCAGCCCTTCCCACCTACCTGGGATCACTGCTCTACTTCTCTGCTCACCTAGATAAACAAACTCCTTGAAATTCTCTTCCCACTGCCAGCAGCAGCTCTCTCCTTCCACTTTCCCTTGGCCTCTGAGAGAGCCTCGGTCACCCATGGCCTAACGTGGCCATCCCAGCGGTCAGTTTGGGGTCCTCTTTTGCCCTGCAGACAGACCATCCATCTGGCAGTCCCTCCCTCCCTGGGCACCCCTTCTCGGATGGACTAGACTTTGACTTTTAGCCTCTTCTTCCTCTAACTACACTCTCCTCTGACAGTCTCATCTCACTTCTGGTGGTAAAAGCCACCTTTGTGCCGACAATATCCAAGTTCATGTCCTCAGCCCGGGACTCTCCCCTGACTACTACTGATATCTACTGAGAGATCTATCCAGACTCCTGATGCCCCTTTTCCAGCCCCTTCTCTCCTCAGGTGGTAGCAGCTCTATCCTTCCTGTCTGTCAGGAGATCTGCAGGCCTTCCCCACAGAACCCGTCAATCACTTACTGCTCGGTAGCCCGCACTCACTCACCCTACCGCTGCAGAGGCTCCTGCCCTGGTCTCCTTGTTTCTGTTTCACCTACTTACTCTCTACTCTTCACCTGCAGCTAGAGGGGCATTAAATCAGACCAAGTTCCTCCTCTGCTCAGCCATATCCAGGCAAGAGCCCCAATCCCAAGGGCGGCAGGCAATGCTGCACTTGGTTCATCCCTCCTCCACTCTCTGACTTCATCTCCTCCTCCCTGGTCCGTAACAGCCCAGACACCCTCCCTGCAGGCACCTGCCCTTGCGGTTCGCTCTGTTTGGAGCAGTCTTCCTCCATTCGTGCAGTGTTCTTGCATTCACTACTTCAGTCTTGGCTTGAGTGTCCCCCTCTTCAGAGAGGCCTCCTTGATCCCTGAAGCCCAACCTCGTCATTCCCCTAAACCTCTCTGCTACCGCAGGTCTCTCCATACCACTTGTCGCTTGGTCATGGTCTCCTTTACTTGTTGACCTGTTCATTGTCCGTCTCTCTGGCAAGAATGTCAACTTGTTGAGAGCGAGAATTCTTTACTCACCAATAAGCCCCTCTCCTGCCCTCCTCTGTCCTTTTTGCCCTTCTGGGGGCTTCCTCTGTCCCAAGCTCCCACTGACAGAATTTTGGTTCCCAGTAAATAAATGGATAGTTTTCAAAGAACAAGCAACTGGGTGAAATGCAGGCTGGAGGTTGTAGCAGGTCCGAGGTGGGTGGTGAGCCCCCAAGGTAGGACTGAGCTCCAGGTCATGCCACGGCTACCATTAAGCACTCTTGCCCCCTGTGTGGACCAATTGACTCCACCCCACATGTGGCTCAGAGCTGGCATGTTTAGGTCTTTGCACAAGCTCTCAGAGCAGGGCAGCCCATGAGCACCTGCAGTAACATGAGTGTGTCAGTGCCCCAGTGTGCAGCGGGCTATGTCAGTGATGAGGACTTGAAAGCGGGGAGTACAGGGCCAAAGATTCCTCAGTCCAAGATGGAGGCATTAGGCAGTCCCTGTAGAGGATGGGGCAAATGAGAAGCGGGTAAGGGGTGAGTGCACCCTAAGCCTTCAGGCTGACGAGAGGCACTGGAGGAAGAGCCCAGCACTAGCAAAGGCAAGAAGGTTAGGGTCTGCAGAGGTCACACTGGGAGCTCCCAGCATTGTGACCCAGGCCACGCTCCTGTCCCCACAGCTGGGGCCCCCCACATCGCCCCCTTCGTGGACCCCCTCGTAGAAGCTACTGTCACAGTGTATGCCACCATCACCTCCCAGTTGCTGCCCACTCCAGCCAAGTCCCACTATACCTTCAACCTGAGGGACCTCTCCAAGGTCTTCCAAGGCATGCTCATGGCCGACCCAGCCAAGGTGGAGGTGAGGATCTGGCGAGCCCTCTCCCCAGCGTCCACTCTGCCTGCACCATCTGTGTTAGGCCTCCTTGTCCAAATACCGTTCAGCCCTGATCCTGGCAAGCCCTGTGGGGGCTGGAACAGGTAGGTGCCGGGTGCCCAAGAGCCTGGCCTTTGTGCAGCCGATCCCTATCTTGTGGGCCCAACCTATCCCTGGAACGGTGACCTAGTGGGGAGCACACAAAGGAGGGAGCCAGGGTAAGGAACTGCAAGTTTCTGGCCAAGTCCTCGTGTGAGAAGTTGCATGGGGTAAGTGAACAGGTTGCCTTCAGGAACCAAAGACGCCAGGAGAAGGAGCAGAAAGTGTGGCAGAGTGAGGGCTCAGGTGCCCTGGACAGCAGTGGGGCCAGGCTCTGGAGCTTTGAGGGTCCACCCTGGAACTGGACTTTTGTCCTAAGAGCGATAGGAAGCCATGTGGAGCCACTAACTAGGCAGCTACTATGTGTAGCCTTGGGCTGGGAAAATAGGGGAGACAGGAGGGAAACTGGCCCTGGCCTTATTAATCTTATTAACCAAAGGAATCAAGAGAAGAGCCTGCAAGTTCCCTGTGGGTTGGTCCAGTCACCCTGGGAGAGGCAGAGAAATGGCCAGAGCTGGAGAGAGCGGGGGCAGGTTCAGAGATTTTCAGAGCTTGGTGAGTGGTTGGTTATATGTGGGATGTTAGGAAGGTATAAGGAGAATCAGGCCTCCTTCCTGGGTTTGGGTTTGGAGAGCTAAAAGAAGGGAAAGAATGACTGAGGTGCTCATGATCAGCTCCTGGGGCTATGCATGCAGTGGACACTGGGCCAACGGGGCCTGGAGTCAGGGGTGGAGAAGCCCAGGCAGCACTATGCAGCTCACTCAGTCTTCATTTAGTCGCCTCCCAACAGCCCCCGCATGGGGCCCTTGCTGGGCTGAGGTTGGAGAGCTGGGCCCAGGAGCTGTGGCTCCCACCCCTCCCCTCTCACCCTGGTACCTGATCCCTACCCTGCAGGACAAGGTGCAGCTGCTACGACTGTGGTATCATGAGAACTGCCGCGTGTTCCGAGACCGGCTCGTGAATGAGGAGGACCGAGGCTGGTTTGACCAACTCCTCAAGAGCCACATGGAGCAGTGGGAGGTGGCCTTTGACAAGGTCTGCATCTTCCAGCCCATTCTCTATGGAGACTTCATGTCACCAGGATCAGATGTGAAGTCCTATGAGCTCATCACCAATGAGAAAAAGGTGAGGGGGTTTGGGCTGGAGCCTCGATCCTGGTGGGTCCTCTTTCATCTGCCCCTGGGGTGCTGGCCCTCTGTAGACACTGCTAACAGAGCCCTGCACTAGAATAGACGGTCAGGACAGTCAGACAAGCTCTTGGACCCTGAGGCCCTATTTCCCAACTGTTACATGGGTGTAGCCAGCAGGCCCTTCTTGAGCTGTCTCTGACAAGCCTGTGGTTCACCTGAAACAGACCCCGTAAACAGGCATACACTAGGCCCCTGTGAGGAACTATTCCCACCCACTGAGGGACAGCAGGGCCTCTTAGACCACAGCTCCCTGGAACCCAGGGAGGCAAGGTGGAAGCCTCCACCACTGGCCTCAGAGCTGCTCAGCAAAAGGGGTCTCCGAGTTGTTTCTTTCTGTACACACACCCTCCCCTAGTTCCCAGGCACTCCCACTGGGGTCCCAGAGTCAGTGTAGCCTGGTGAGACCCGGAGGGAGTAGGCTGGGCTCTGACCCTCAGGCCTGGTCATGTCTAGTGGGTCAGGCCTCTTTCAGGAAGATCTGGTTTTGAGCGTGTGTGTGTATGTGTAGTGTCTGGCAACTGAACTCAGAGCTACATCCCCAGTCCTTATTTTATTTTTTATTTTGAGATGGGATCTCAGTCACCAAGTTGCTTAGGCTGTGCTCGAACTCTTGGTCCTCCTATCTCAGCCTCTCAGGGAGCAGGGATTTACAAGTGTATGCCACCACACCCAACTAGACCTGGCTCCTTAAAGCCAGCATCGCTCCATGCAAAGGAAGAGCAGGACTTACTGTGTGAGGGCTGAATGTCCTGTCAGGGAAGCCTCAGTACACAGGGTTCCACCCAGCCAAACTATGGCCAGAGTTGCACAAGCGATAGCAGGGAAATTCCCACAAGAGACTGCTCTAAACTATTCCAGTATGGCTGGTTGGGATTCCAAAGAAAAGAGCACTAGCTCCTAGGGTAATCAATCTGAAGTGTTTATCAGGGAACCTTACATGCAGATGGGTCTACAGATTCAACATGGTACGCCATGAAACAAGAAATATTCTAGTTCGTCCACAACAAGGGACGGGGGTGTGATGGGGTTTATGTAACAGTATAGGGAAGTTGGCAGGGGCAGAACTAGCTTCTACGTGTGCAGGGACATGGCGGGTTTCCAGCATTCCAAGTAACAACCTGAACCAGTTCATCAGTGCCTGGGAATGTTCCAGGCTCCAACTTGGATTCAAGCCTGCAGGGGACTACACGCAGCTGGCCAGGCCACAGTGGTCACTCACTGTTTCCCAGACAGGAAAGAGAAGGGGGTGGGAGGCCGGGAGACCTTAGAGTGGAGGAGAGCCAGCCACACACCCCTCCTTCCTCAGATGATGCAGGTGATCGAGGAATACATGGAGGACTACAACCAGATCAACACAGCCAAACTGAGGCTGGTCCTCTTCATGGATGCCATGAGCCACATCTGTCGAATCAGCCGAACTCTGCGCCAGGCACTAGGCAACGCCCTCCTGCTGGGCGTGGGTGGCAGTGGCCGCAGCTCCCTCACACGGCTGGCCTCACACATGTGAGGATCCTCAGGCATGGTGGGCAGTGGGCAGCTGGCGGCAGACTGGCTGGCTGATTGATGCTTTCCACAGTGGAGGAGCCCAGCTTACGGGTTTCTGAAGGACTGGGAATAGGACCTGGGCTCCCAGGAGAGGCAGCTACAGTGCCTAGAGGTGCTGTGGGGAAGGAGTTACCAATGCAGACATTCTAGAGGGCCTTCTGGAGGAGGTGTCCCTGGGTCTGCTCCCAGAATCCGAGCTGGGAGGCTGGAAGGAAAGCCTGCTCCAGGCTGAGGGAATAAGTTAGGGTTAGAGAACAAGTGCAGGGTCTGGAGGGTCTTCAAGTCTGCCCAGGATGGAAGCAAGATTCCAGATGGTTAGATGTGGAGTATGAGCACCTACCACTCACCAGAGCCCGGATACAGGCCCCTGGTGTGCCTTGACTCAAACTCTGCCTCCAGGACTGAGTACGAGTGCTTCCAGATTGAGCTCTCCAAGAACTACGGCATGTCCGAGTGGCGTGAGGATGTCAAGAAGGTCCTGCTCAAAGCCGGCCTGCAGAACCTGCCCATCACCTTCTTGTTCTCAGACACCCAGGTGCTGCCATCATGGCAGGGGGCAGGCCTCAGGGTGGGCTGGACACAATGCCATCCCAGGGTGGTATCCTGCAAGGTGGTCAGTCCTTCTCACCCAGCTCACTCAGCCAAGGACTAGCAGGACCAGATGGGACCACAGAGCTAAGGGGGACATTACTAGTGCCCCAAGAGTAAAAAGGCCTCCCAGCACCATGACATACCACTGTCTGGCCAACAGCTTCCCACCTTACGGACACAGGGATCGTGGCCAAAGAACTAGGGACTTGGGACTCCTCTCTTTGGGGCTGCTCCCTCTGGAACTTCCTGGGTATAAGGCCTCTCCCCAGGTCTCTGAATAAAGAGAGGTTGTTACCGAGGCCACAAGACAAGTAGTGAAGCCTTAAACTTGGCTGGCAGGGTTGATCCTGAGGCCCTAGGCTGAAGGCCCAGAAAATACCCTACCCTGGGTAAAGGCTGTTCTGCTCCCGGCCCAGCCCCAGGTCCAGGATGCCCTTCAGGAGGTAACTGAGTTAGTCAGGAAATTGAGGATGCCCTTTGACACAGGCTAGGTTTCCCTGCCTATAGCCATGGTTTCCACCTGTGGATAAACTGAGGCTTTGAGGGAGGCCAGAAACTGAACAGGAAGATGCCATAAACCCCACCTGGACTCAGGGCCCTGCCACAGCCCAGGTGTTATGTTCAGAGCCTCTGAAAGTGGGACAGGCCTAGGTACAAGTCCTGGGCTTCTACTAATGAGGTCACTTGAGTGACCCTAGGCTTCTCTGAGCTGTAGAGGCAGGGTCTCTCAGTGGGGCTGTTGTGAAGGACCAGAGATGGTGCTTATTGACCATAAAAGCTTAGCTCCATACTCCTGTCTTCCCCCAGATCAAGAACGAGTCCTTCCTGGAGGACATCAACAATGTCCTGAACTCAGGCGACATTCCCAACCTTTACAACCTGGATGAGCAGGACCAGATTGTCAACGCCATGCGGAGCTATGTCCAGGAGCAGGGCCTGCAGCCCACTAAGGCCAACCTCATGGCTGCCTACACTGGGCGCGTGCGCAGCAACATCCACATGGTGCTGTGCATGAGGTAGAAGTAACCACAATGGGGCCACAAGGCTGGGCAGGGAGCCAACCTCAGAGATTCGGGAGGCCTGGGAGCTCAGGCCTGAGGTGCCCCTGGGACCATGCTGCTTGATTGCCATGCCTCAAGGCTAAGAAAGGGCCCTGGGTCCTGGGTTCCTGGGGGGCTAAGTTAGCATCTGTGGCCTCATTTGGATGCCTGGATCCCTTAGCCCCATTGGAGAGGTTTTCCGAGCCCGCCTGAGGCAGTTCCCCTCCTTGGTCAACTGCTGTACCATTGACTGGTTTAACGAGTGGCCAGCAGAGGCCCTGGAGTCTGTGGCCACCACATTCCTGAACGAGATCCCAGAACTGGAATCTTCTTTCGAAGTAATTGAAGGACTGGTAGGTGTCTTGGTGGGAAGCAAGCTCTTGTTTCATTTTGGGTGAGGACTTGGGGTCCCTGAGGCCTACATTAGAGTCCCAGGCCCACCACTAGCAGTGGCCTTTCCATCAGACAGCCTTGCCCATCTAAGATTCAATTTCTTGATCCGTAAAGTGGAGAGAGCCCAGGTTGTTACAGTGACACTGATGCTCAGCACATAGCTACATGGTTACAGTGTCCCTTATTCTCTGAGTGTGTCATAGCAGCTTTCTTCCAAGAGTCCCTGACACAACTCCAGAGACCACAGATGGAGTGAGCTACTTTTGTCCGGTCTGACCTCAGGAAGTGATGGTTCCCCCGGGCTAAGTGCTAGGTTGAAGCCAACAGTCCCTGCCCATTTCTGTTCAGGCCTTGCTTCTTCCCTCCCTGTAGGTCCTGCCTCTGAGGGATACTCTCAGAGAGAGAGGCAGGTCAGGGAGCTGTGACAAGGGCACTGGGCCACAGCTTGGAGACACCTAGGTCCATGTTCAAAGCCAACTCTGCCCCTGACTTCTCTGGGCCTTGGGTTTTTCATTTGCATAAGCAATGACCTTGGCCCAGAATTTGTAAGAATCTCGGGAAAGAATGAGTGCAAAAGATGAAGATTCCTTCTATGGGCGCCTCTTCAGGACCAGGCTGCAATGACTTTGTGGGTACCAGGGGCCCTGTCTTTGCTGGGATTGCTACAAAACTGGCATCAGTGGTCTCCCCTTCATAGATTCAGATCTGTGTGTACATACATCAGTCAGTGTCTAAGAAGTGTGTCGAGTACCTGGCAGAGCTGGCCCGCCACAACTATGTGACCCCCAAGAGCTATCTGGAACTGCTCAATATTTTCTCCATCCTCATCGGGCAAAAGAAACTGGAGCTGAAGACGGCCAAAAACCGCATGAAGAGTGGTCTTGACAAGGTGTGCTTGGGAGAAGCCTCATGGACAGTGGCCAGCTGCCAGTGGCCCTGCCCTGGCACCAGGGTCACCCAGCACTTCTAATTGGAGCCCACAGTGTTTAAACAATGGCTTTCTCCCTCAGTGAAAAAATAAAAATTATCAGCCAAAGGGGAGGCTATTAAGTACCCCATAGATTCTCAGGGGACTGGGTCCCTTCCCCTAGAGTCTCCTAGCAACCTGACAACCACTGAACCTGTCGTGGCCTCCCTCTCCTGGATAGGGGTGGCCCAAGGGAGCCTCTCCCCAGCACTCACCAGACCTGACTCTCTCTGAGGTCCCTGTCACGTCTGTTTTACTTTCTGAGTCCCCTCACCGCTCCCTACCCCCAGTTACTTCGCACTGCTGAGGACGTGGCCAAGATGCAAGAGGAGCTGGAGATTATGCGCCCCCTGCTGGAAGAGGCTGCCAGGGACACCATATTCACTATGGAGCAGATCAAGGTTGGGGGTGCTCCCAGACTCCCCTCCTAGATAGATGTTTGATCCTTTCTGAGGACGGCATCTCTAAACACCCACAGATTGCCTCCTGCGTGACTGTGCACCTTCATGCACCTCAGTTTCCTCGTTCAGTAGCTATTCATTTATTTGACATATGCTTGGTCAGAATTATTTTATGGCAGGCACTTTCTGGGATTGGTGAAAAGCAATGCAGATAAATCCAAACAGCCCCCAGACAATGCTAATAGCCATAACACAGACTGATGGGAAGGTTATCACAGGCAGATGTGCAGATTCTGCATAGCACAGAGGCCACATGTGAGGGCCTCATCCTCCCAGTAGACATCACAGACTTGTACATTCACTAAGACAGCTTTCTGGCAGAAATACTCAAGTGTCCTGTTTGTCAAAGTCAGGGTTTCACAAATTTTTCCAGGAAGAAAAGTGGAAGGTGTGCCTTTCTCTGGCATGTATGAAGGGGCCCCGTGGGCTTAGGAGTTTCCCTATGGGGCAGGCACCTTCAAACCTGGAAAGCCCTGAGCCCCACACCAGGCCCACGGTGAGGGCTCGGTGTGTGGAACGGGCTCCTGGCCGTCCCAGTCTCTATGACTCCTTGAGAATGGGACCCCCAACCATCCTTTCCTTCCTTCTGGGGAGTCTGAGATGCAAAGGAGAGGAGAGAAAGGGGAGAAGGGCATGCCTGCTCCTACCACTGGACTCTTGTCTTCCCATCCCAAGGTGGATACAGCCATTGCAGAGGAGACCCGGAAGTCTGTGCAGGCTGAGGAGATCAAAGCCAACGAGAAGGCCAGGAAGGCACAAGCTATTGCTGATGATGCTCAGAAAGACCTGGACGAGGCGCTGCCAGCCTTAGATGCAGCCTTGGCCAGCCTGCGCAACCTCAACAAAAATGATGTGACCGAGGTAGGTAACTGGTTTCTCTTGTGATCATTCTGATGTCTTCTCAGGGCCTAGTGGTGTCCGTAGACCCTCCCTCCGCACATTTTTTGGGAGCCACTTGCCAAGAGGTGAGGACAGAACTTGGGCATGCCCTGCCTTCCTTATGCCAGCCCCCAGCAGTTGAAGCCAACCTCAGAGAACCTCTGGGCACGCTCTTGGTCCCGTAGCAGTGGGGGACTGGTGGACATACCCTGTCTGGCAGTGTCCCTGCCTAGAGGGAGCTACTCAGTAATGGACCTTCCTCTTCCCTACCTTGTGACTCGGCCCACAGGTGCGGGCCATGCAGCGGCCACCACCAGGCGTGAAGCTAGTCATAGAAGCTGTGTGCATCATGAAGGGTATCAAGCCAAAAAAGGTGGCTGGAGACAAGCCAGGCTCCAAAGTGGACGATTACTGGGAGCCAGGCAAGGGGCTGCTGCAGGACCCAGGTCGCTTCCTTGAGAGCCTTTTCAAGTTTGATAAGGTGAGCATGTCTGTCACTAGAGCCCGCCAGCAGGTGAGGCTGGGACCGAGAAGGGCAGGGAAGCTGGAGAGGAGACTGCCCCACCACAGGGTCCGCATGTGCTGTGGTCTCTAGCCCTCTCTGCCTGCTCCACCCCTACCGGAGGCATGCACAGCCCTACGGGTCACGCAGCTGACTGGGACCGTGGAGCACAGAGCCTGCCTGGTAGTATTAAAGGGCAGTTTTGTTTTTTTAATGGCTCACCAATCAGAAGTAGTCCAGGTTCTTCTTGCCTCAAACAAAGAATTCGATAAAAAAAGCCAAAAACAGTGCCCAAAGTTTATTTGAAAAGTTTAGGGTAAATAGGTATAAAGTAAACCACCTCTGCAAAGCAAACTTGGGCCAAAGAAAAAGAGGGCAAAAGCAAAAATAAAAGTACACTCTGTATCTGAGAAATGCAGTATGGGCTACCGTGGAAACTCATAATAGTGGCTTTCCATGGTGGCTGGTTTTCTTTTATGCCATCCACATGGCACAGGAGCTCAAAGTTCTGAGGACGGGGTCCTGGCGTTGTCCTGGGGTCCTGTAATTGACAGGCCCACTCATCTCCCCCAGCCAGCTTTGCTACCCCTATCTCCTATAGCTGTGGGGTAATAGGCAGACCCACCGACAGATGGGTTGAGAATATTAGGACCAAAGCAGGCTCCTGTGCCCAGAGGAAGTCACCCACTGTCACTTTAAGGCTCCACAGCCTGGGAATGCTCTTCTGTGCCCTTTTCACTCTGGACTTCTAAGGCCTTGACCAAGACCTTCACCATCACCTTTGTCTCTCAGCCTCTGCACCCGAGGATCAGTTCCCCCGTGTCCCTCTGGGTTTCTCTGTCCATCTGCAGCACTCAGTGTCCATGGGCATGTGCTCTCAGGGGCTGTCTCCTGGTCAGGTCAGGCTGGAGCCCACAGTTCCCACAGGGGGCCCCTCTCCAGCCTGGACATCGCCCAAGGAGCAGCTGCCTGACCCACATGGGCCACCCCCAGCACCACATGTCAGTGCAAGGGCTGGGCACTTCCACGCTGAGCTCAGAGACTAGGACAGTGGCTGGCCTCAGGTCTCAGCAGCAGCTAGACCCCCTTTGGGCTTCTCCATTCTTCCTCTTCTCCCTTTAAGCAAGAATCCAAAGGCCCCACAGGTCTAGCTGAGCCATTCTGAGAGAAGAGTGCAAGCCAGGTGTGTCCAGGGCCCATGCTCAGGCATCTGGGCTCACCCCTAGCTCTGGCTCTGGCAGCTCGTTAGCAATGCAGCTCCCTGGGCTCATCAGAGCCACTCACTCTTTCCACACCCACTGAAGCTATTGCTCTGAGAAAGCAGCCCTGCTCTTTCAATGAGCTTTTTAATGGGGCCTTGTGTACTGTCAAATCTTGAAGCTTCTGCGAATGGATGTGAAATCCCAGGGAAGGGACACAGAGGTTCCTTGTCTGGCCAGCCTTTCTAGATTGTTTGTTCTTTAAGGAGGACACCGTGATTAAGGCCTGTGCAGGCAATAGGGCCGAGAAGCAGTATCTGGGGGTCCCTCAGAGGCCCCACCTCTTAGCAAGGCCCCTCTTGAGACCCATGATTCCCACACCAGGACAACATCGGGGAGGCAGTGATCAAGGCCATCCAGCCATACATCGACAACGAGGAGTTCCAACCAGCCGCCATCGCCAAGGTGTCCAAGGCCTGCACTTCTATCTGCCAGTGGGTGCGGGCCATGCACAAGTACCACTTCGTGGCCAAGGCTGTGGAGCCCAAGCGGGTGAGGACCGGGAAGAGGGGGTCAGTCTCCCTTCCCAGTTACTCAGAGGCAAGCTGGCCCTGTACCCTCCGCTTGTAGCAAGCCTTGCGGGAGGCCCAGGAAGACCTAGAGGTGACACAAAGGATCCTGGAGGAGGCGAAGCAGCGCCTGCGTGAAGTAGAGGATGGCATCGCCACCATGCAGGCCAAGTACCGAGAATGCACTGCTAAGAAGGAAGAGCTGGAAATGAAGTGTGAGCAGTGTGAGCAGCGGCTGGGCCGTGCCGACAAGGTACTTGCCCCTCCTCCGTGATCCCCGAGTGTGCCCACCTGACGGCCCAGAAGGGCCCCGGGTGGGGATTCCGGGGTAGCTACCTGTACCCTGTCTGTAGCAACCACAGGGGCTGCAGCAGGGGTCTGCCACAGCCCCCAGTACAACCTCCCAGAGTGTACCCCATGGGGCCGCCTCTGCAGCTCATCAACGGGCTGGCGGATGAGAAGGTGCGCTGGCAGGAGACAGTGGAGAACCTGGAGCACATGCTTGACAACATCTCGGGCAACGTGCTGGTTGCTGCTGGCTTTGTGGCCTACCTGGGCCCCTTCACGGTAAGTAGCCCCAGCTTTGCCTCTGACCAGTCTCCTCTCCCAGAGAGGCCTTTCCTGGGACCTCACCTCCACAGGGCAGCCTTTAGGTGGCCTCTCCCTGTCTCATTCAGCAAGCCCTCAGAAGGCCACCTCTGTAAGCCAGGTGCTGGGGATGCAGCAGTGGAGAAAAGGGCCAGAGCAGCCACCTCGTGGGGCTGGCCTTCTAGAGGACATGTGAGAGCTCACACGTGTACCTGTGTGTGCCATGCACTGCCCAACACTTAAACACTTCAAATGTGGCTCCCACTTAATCCTCAGTCATCATACGGGTGGACATGGTGGCCATTACCCTGCTTCATAGCTGAGGAGATGAGGTTAGTAGAGTCCAAGAAAGTCACTCCAAGTGGGACTAGAACACAAGATCTGTCTCCGTGTGTGAGCTCGGACCTCCGTGAGCAGCTGCTAAGCAATGGTGTAGCAGGAGGTTGGGAGGTAGGGAGGTAGGGAGGCACTCGTGTCTAGTGTGGTAGCCCTGTGTCTGGCATCTCCCCAGGGTCAGTATCGCATGGCACTCTACGACCAGTGGGTCAAGCAGCTTACAGTCCATCATGTACCACACACTGCCGAGCCCACGCTAATTGGAACGCTGGGGAACCCCGTGAAGATCCGCTCGTGGCAGGTGCCCGCCCTGGGGGACAGGAGAGGCCAGGCTGGGCTGCAGTGTGGTCCAGGCGAGCCCAGGAACCTCCTGCCTCCCTCCTACCCTCCCTTCTGGAGCCAGACTTAGAGATGCCTCTCCTGAATATTCCTGGGCCCTGCAAGAGGTTGGTGGGAGGAGAGAAAGAGAAAGCTGGGTCAAGAGGACACAAATGCTTAAAAGCAGTACTTTTAAGAGTGTGGAATGGGATAAGAGAATTATCCAGGTAAACGTTAGGAAAGGTTTCCCAAAAGAAGCCATGTCCAAGCTAGACCCCAAAGGGCAGTTGGCAAAGGGAAAAAACAAAGCCCATAGGCAGAGGCCAAGCATGGGCAAAGGCCAGAAGAGCCAAAGGAGTGTGGGCTCCACGAGGGTGGTGTCACGAATGATGACTCAGTAAGCATCAGGACACAAAGACCCGGTGGGAGAGGGCATCAGGAGCATAAGAGGCAGGGATCTTGGGGATCAATACTCTGCCCACAGTGTCACCTGCCCCCCACCACACATCCAAAGGGTGCAATCAAAAGAATGAAGTTCATTGCCAAAGCATGAAGTTGGGTGTAGTTTATACCCCAGGGGGGCCCTTCTCGTAAAAAAGCCCTGACCCAGTCTGACATCTGGCCTTGCACAGATTGCTGGCCTCCCCAATGACACTTTGTCAGTGGAGAACGGGGTCATCAACCAGTTCTCCCAGCGCTGGACCCACTTCATTGACCCCCAGAGCCAGGCCAACAAATGGATCAAGAACATGGTAAGTCCACCTGCCAACACTGCCACCCCACCATAGCCAGGTTCAGCCTCACTCTCAGCCTCCCCCTGTCCCAACCCGTCTGTTTCCCTCACAGGAGAAGGACAATGGGTTGGATGTATTTAAGCTGAGTGACCGCGACTTCCTGCGCAGCATGGAGAATGCCATCCGCTTTGGGAAGCCATGCCTTCTGGAGAATGTGGGCGAGGAGCTTGACCCAGCCCTGGAGCCTGTGCTGCTTAAGCAGGTGGGCCTGTGGGGGGGCAGGACAGGGCCACGGGCCTGGGCAGGGAGCCGTCCACACCACACTGGTACAGCTCAGGCCCCAGCGCGTGTCTGTCCCACCCACTACAGACATACAAGCAGCAGGGGAACACAGTGCTGAAGCTGGGGGACACAGTGATCCCCTACCATGAGGACTTCAGGATGTACATCACCACCAAGCTGCCCAACCCACACTACACACCCGAGATCTCCACCAAACTCACCCTCATCAACTTCACCCTGTCACCCAGGTAAGTCCCTGTCCCTGAGCACCCCCAAGCATCAATGCTACCTCCTCCTACCTGGCTGCTGGTGGGCTACTCCAGGCTGGCTAACCACTCAATGGCTCTACCAGCTTCCTCCCCGGCACTGGTATTCCCTCCACCAGCTCCTCTGACCTGCCACTGTTTCCACCTAAGAACTCTTGCCCTTGCCCCACAGGCCTGCTCTGTGCCGACACCTCCATTTCCATGGCCACTATGAGCTTCTCCACAAATCAGCGGGTACAAAGGCCCTTGAGGCCTAGCACTGTTGGTCCCCTAGAGCCCCCTCCTGTTGAGAACTGTTCAGAGACCCCAACTGGCCAGCCCCTGCTGGGATTCCAGGCTCCTGGGTTCTGGGCTGCCACCAGAGGTCTCACTGAGAACCACTAGCCCACACAGCCTGTGAAGAAGCCCAGGCCCTCTGGGTGGACACTGGCAGGACGCTGGACTCTTGAAGCCCCGGGGGCACAAAAAAGGTAAGTGAGCAGGCTCAAAGCTGGCCCTCTGGGGCTCATCGGGTGTTACAACATGGTGCCTCCTGACCCTGGCAGTGGCCTGGAAGACCAGCTGCTGGGCCAGGTAGTGGCTGAAGAGCGACCAGACCTGGAGGAGGCCAAGAACCAGCTAATTATCAGCAATGCCAAGATGCGTCAGGAACTAAAGGACATTGAAGACCAGATCCTGTACCGGCTCAGCTCCTCTGAAGGCAACCCTGTGGATGACATGGAGCTCATCAAAGTGCTAGAGGCGTCCAAGATGAAGGCTGCTGAGATCCAGGTGGGAATCTGCCTCTTCCTACTTGCCTGGGGCCTGCCCCCTGTCACTTCCAACTCCCCCAGACCCGGCCGTTACCTCCATCCACTTCAGTCTTCTGATTTTTGCCAGTGTACCTGGGCTTAACACTTCTTCCCACTGCACCCCCAGGCCAAGGTCAAGATTGCAGAGCAGACTGAGAAGGACATTGACCTCACACGCATGGAGTACATACCTGTGGCTGTCCGTACCCAGATCCTCTTTTTCTGTGTGTCTGACCTGGCCAATGTGGACCCCATGTACCAGTACTCCCTCGAATGGTTCCTCAGCATCTTCCTCTCAGGCATTGCCAACTCAGAGAGGGCAGGTAACGCTGGCACAGAGGCACAACAGGCCCACCCTGACACAGACAGGACAAACATGGACACATTACCACTGTGCGGCACACACATAAATTCACACTCATGTTCACTAGCACACCCTCTCACATCAGTCTCATGGTACCTAAGAACATGCCCACTGCTCCTTATGCTCTTTGGAGTCCATTTCCTGAGAAAACCAGCTTCCCAGGAATGCCCAGACTGCCCTGATGGCTGCTGGGAGATTATCTAGGCTGGGCTGGGATCTTCCCTCCTTTCTCCTCTCCCCATACTCTGCCACCACCTCTCTGCCCTGCAGACAGCCTGAAGAAGCGCATCACCAACATCAACCGCTATCTGACATACAGCCTCTACAGCAACGTCTGCCGCAGCCTCTTTGAGAAGCACAAGCTGATGTTTGCCTTCCTGTTGTGTGTCCGCATCATGATGAATGAGGGCAAGATCAACCAGGTGCAGAGGCAGGGAAATGGCAGGCAGCCTGACTGCCTGAGTGGTCACCCTGTTGTGGGCCAGGGAGAACAGGGTGGATGAAAAGGGAAGGCCAGGCACGAGGGCACAGCAAGACCACAGGGCAGAGGCCTAAAGGAGCCCAATTCCTTGGCTAAACACAACAGGAAACCTGGGTTAATTATAGCCTAATGAATGCTTAAGCGCAGGCCTTCTTAGAACCTTGTATGTGGTGAGCACAGACTGTCCTGAGCCTCCCACACCTGTTTGGCCAGAAGCCCCAGTGGAGCACACATCCAGGAAAGGGCCAAGTGGAGACACTAAACTAGACCCGTTTGACCAGCAACCCCAAGGCAACTCAAGTTTCTCTGGACGGGGTACCTGGAGGTAAGGAGTATAACTGGCTGCAACCTGCCTGGTCCCTTGCCAGGGTGAGTGGCGCTACCTCCTGTCTGGGGGCTCCATCCAGACCATGACCGAGAACCCTGCACCAAACTGGCTGTCAGAACGAGCCTGGCGAGACATCCTGGCACTCTCAAACCTGCCCACCTTTGCCTCCTTCCCCTCTGACTTTGTAAAGCACCAGACAAAATTCCGGGCCATCTTTGACAGTCTTGAGCCCCACCGGTGAGCTGGGTCCCAGGGTATAGTCGGGTGGTACATCAAGCAGGAAAGACCCCAGGAACAGGACTGCCCAGAAGCCTTCTTGGAGGGACCACCCTGGATTACCCTGAATCTGTGGCCCCATCTCTTCTGTGCCTTCAAACTCACACCCGGGACACCCTACTCTCTCCCCTGCTATCCAAATGGTAGAATCCCTGGGGTCAGTGGCTTCCCACAGGCTGACTTTCAGGGAGATACGGGCACTGTTTCAGGGAGCCCTTGCCTGGCATCTGGAACCAGTACCTGGACCAGTTCCAGAAGCTGCTGGTCCTCCGCTGCCTGCGTGGGGACAAGGTTACCAATGCCATGCAGGATTTTGTGGCCACCAACCTGGAGCCACGCTTCATTGAGCCCCAGGCAAGTGATGGTACCTAGGCAGGGCTGGCACCTTGGGACTCAGGGCCTGACTGCATCGGGATGAACTTCTTTGCAGCCTCGGCCAGGACAGGACTTCACTCCTTCCCAGCCCCCAAGGAAACTTAAGAGGTTCCAGGACCCACCAGAAAGCCCCTCTGGGACTTCTCGGGAGCCCTGGGATCCCCCTCCGCTGCCTGGTCCCTGTCTCACCATCAACCCCAGGTGGTCCCAACATCCCTCTTCATTCTTACAGACAGCCAATCTGTCAGTGGTATTCAAAGACTCCAACTCCACCACACCCCTCATCTTTGTGCTGTCACCTGGCACAGACCCTGCTGCTGACCTCTACAAGTTTGCTGAAGAGATGAAGTTCTCCAAGAAGCTCTCCGCCATCTCCCTGGGTCAGGGGCAGGTAAGGGCTAGGCAGGGAGGAAGCAAGTAGGCTGGGAGGATGGCCCTGGACTCCATCCAGTGTTCCTACCTGCACAGGGCCCTCGCGCAGAAGCCATGATGCGCAGCTCCATAGAGAGGGGCAAGTGGGTCTTCTTCCAGAACTGCCACCTAGCACCAAGCTGGATGCCAGCCCTGGAGCGCCTCATTGAGCACATCAACCCCGACAAGGTGTGCCATGCTGCATGTTACAGACCCGCTGGGGTCTCCTCTGCTGAAAGGTAGTAAGAACCCAGCCATGGAAGATGGATGAGATAACCCTACAGAGCACTCCGCCCAGCCTGGGCATGCAGCTGTCATATGTATCATGCATCAACTAGATTTATCTTCTCAATGGTCTCCTTGAGTTTCTGGGGGTCTGAAGCCTGATAACTTGCCCAGGGCCACCCAGCTCAGATTGGTGACCCCAAAACTTGCCAAAGCCCATATTCTTAGCCATTTGTCCATGCAGCCTTCCCTGGCCCACTCCAGGGGTAGTCAGGCAGAGGGTGAGCTTAGACTCCCTGGGCAGGAGGGAGCTCGGTGTTGATGTGTCTTGATGCTCATGAGGAGCTTTGGGTACCAGGTGCACCGGGACTTCCGCCTGTGGCTCACCAGTCTGCCCAGCAACAAGTTCCCAGTGTCCATCCTGCAGAATGGCTCCAAGATGACCATTGAGCCGCCACGTGGGGTTAAGGCCAACCTGCTGAAGTCCTACAACAGCCTCAGCGATGACTTCCTCAACTCCTGTCGCAAGGTGAGGCACACTTGCTACATGGCTGCCTGTCTCCACCTGAACCCCTCATCCCCCTTTACTCCCTAACTGCCACAGGTGTTGGAGTTCAAGTCCCTGCTGCTGTCTTTGTGCCTGTTTCATGGGAATGCGCTGGAGCGTCGCAAATTTGGGGCTCTGGGCTTCAACATCCCCTATGAGTTCACAGATGGAGACCTACGCATCTGTATCAGTCAGCTCAAGATGTTTCTAGATGAATATGATGACATCCCCTTCAAGGTGAAGGGGTGGGGCAAGGACAGACTGGGGACAGGAGCCTGTGGAAGTTACAGGGACCCTAACCCATCCATCTCATAGGTCCTCAAGTACACAGCAGGTGAGATCAACTACGGAGGCCGTGTCACTGATGACTGGGACCGCCGCTGTGTTATGAACATCCTGGAGGACTTCTACAGGCCTGCTGTGCTCTCCCCTGATCACAGCTACAGTGACTCAGGGATCTACCACCAGATCCAGCCCACCTATGACCTCAATGTGAGACCACCCCCAAGGACTGAGCAGGAAGGGAGCTACCAGGCTGGGGCTCCAGGGTGCCACATACACCTTGGTGCTTGGTGACGGGAGGCGTGGCCCCTGCCTCCAGGCTGCTTTTCATTGGTAAATCCATTTTGCGGGTAAGGGCCATAGTCCCTACCTGCTGGAGAGCAGGCTCTGTAGGGAGAGGTGAACCCTGCCTCAGCGATTTCCTGTGTAATTATTCTGGTGGGTTGGGACAGCTCCCCCAAGACGTTATCGGACCCAGGCTCTGCAGCCAGGGGAGGCTCTCTGAAGACATATTTCCACTGAACTAGGCGGGGAGAAGTCAACAGCCAACGAAGGGTTGGGTGGGCACCACGAAGAGGGCTATGGGAGGTTTGAGCAGCTGCTTGGAGGGGCAGGGAGGGAAGTGGAGTGACACGTAGGGCACGTGACAAGTGAGACACGCTCAATGACGGGGTGACTCTGAAGGTTGGGACTGAGCAAGGCAGAGCCTTCAGTTTCAGACTTCCTACCTCCCAGGGCTACCTCTCCTACATCAAAAGCCTTCCACTCAACGACATGCCTGAGATCTTTGGCCTGCATGACAATGCCAACATCACTTTTGCCCAGAATGAGACTTTTGCCCTGCTTGGTGCTATCATCCAGCTGCAGCCTAAATCCTCCTCTGCGGGCAGCCAAGGCCGGGAGGAGGTTGGTGGTAGCAGGGGAAGGGGCTGGACTCCACTATCCTGCCTGCTCCCCTGTGGGAAAGCCTTCGCCTATGGAATCCTGCAGGAGTTAAAGGAGACTAGCCTCGTCCTCTCATGTCTCCACCCCTGCAGATAGTGCAGGACGTGGCCCAGAACATTCTGCTCCAAGTGCCTGAGCCCATCAACTTGCAAATGGTAATAGCCAGGTACCCTGTGCTGTATGAGGAGTCGATGAACACTGTGCTGGTTCAAGAAGTCATCAGGTAATTCCTCCTGTCACCCCACCCAAGTCAGCAGCCACAGTGCTATACAGAAATGACAACAGGAGTGCCATGCCAAGTGCTATATACATCCTCCTCTAACTTAGCCAGTTGTGTATCATTCCCATTTTATAGATGAGTAAACTGAGCCACAAGAAAGGTTAAGTGACTTTACCAGATCACATATTTGCTAAGGGCCAGAGCTGGGATTAGTTCCCAGGCTGCCTGACACAGCTCTACATTCTCCATCTTTATGTTCTGCCATTGCTTTCTGTGTATGGCCCCAAATTAGGGAGAACAGACATTGCCACACAACCCCAGCCCACTGCCTGCTTCCTTGCCACTGGCCTCCTAGGTACAACCGGCTACTGCAAGTGATCACACAGACACTGCGAGACTTGCTCAAGGCACTTAAGGGGCTGGTGGTGATGTCCTCGCAGCTGGAGCTGATGGCTGCCAGCCTGTACAACAACACTGTGCCTGAGCTCTGGAATTCTAAGGCATACCCATCACTCAAACCACTGGCCTCATGGGTCATGGACCTGCTGCAGCGCCTGAACTTCCTGCAGACCTGGATCCAAGGTGGCATCCCAGCTGTGTTCTGGATCAGCGGCTTCTTCTTCCCTCAGGCTTTCCTGACAGGCACTCTACAGAATTTTGCCAGAAAGTTCATCATCTCCATCGACATTATCTCCTTTGATTTCAAGGTATGGACATAGCTAGGGCCACATCAGGCCATAAGCTGGGGTACTGCTTAGGCAGAAGGGGCACTCAGGCCACAGCTTGCCTGGCTTTTGGGGTAGCCCCGAACAGGAAGGTGAGAACACCAGCCAGGAGAGGCCAGGAGACCCAAGAAATTTCACAGGAGCAGGGCACAGACTGCAGAGCACTGGCTAAAATGGCAGATAAGTGGTGGCCAGGCAGGCAGACAGGAGCTCTCAGAAGGGAGTACCTGCCTTCCTGACCATAATCCTAACCCAGATTTGGGGTGTTGGTATGTGTGTGGGTGTGTGTGTGTGCCAACCACAGGTGATGGCTCAGTCACCATCAGAACTCAAGAAAAGGCCCGAAGTGGGGTGCTACATCCATGGACTGTTCCTGGAAGGTGCCCGTTGGGATTCAGAAGCCTTCCAACTGACTGAGTCTCGGCCCAAGGAGCTGTACACAGATATGGCCGTTATCTGGCTCCTGCCAGTACCCCACCGCAAAGCTCAGAACCAGGACATCTACCTGTGTCCCATCTACAAGACACTGACCCGTGCCGGTACAGGGCCCAAAGCAGGGAGCCTACAGTATGGGTGGGGGACCAAAGACTGACCCAGCTCAGCCCAAGCCAGTTAGCCAGGTTAGCTGAGCAGTGAGACTGACAAGAGATTTAGATCAGCACAAAGCCAGGCCACCAGCAGGCAAGTTAATGTTCTCCGTCAACAGATCCACTTTGGGTTCTGGGAGCCTCTGAGCCCCAGACTGCCACTGGGGGTTCAGAACAATGGGGGCACAGACAGGGATGAGACCGAACAGTGACATCAACTTTCTTATCCTCATCTCTGATCACCAGTGTAGTAACCGAGGAAGGCCTAAGCCTTGACCAGACCCAATTATCACACAGACTTTCCCTTGGGCCAGGGCCCCCTCCCTGTCCCTGACCTAATCTGCCAGAGTCACTGCCCTTGCCGCTGCTCTATCAGTGAGAGCACAACCTAACCTCCCCACTTCTTGCCTGCCAGGAACACTGTCGACCACAGGCCACTCCACCAACTATGTCATCGCTGTGGAGATCCCCACCCGCGAGCCTCAGCGACACTGGATAAAGCGTGGTGTGGCCCTCATCTGTGCCCTGGACTACTAGGCTCAGACAGAGGGTCAGAGCCATTAAAGTTGAGTTTTCCAGTTAGTCTAGCTATGCCTTGGCTGCTTTATGAGGATCCCTCTGTGGGGTGGGACACTGCAGGAGTCTCAGCAGAGTGTGATCAGCAGGCAGAAGAGGGCACAGAGGTGGCTTTGGCCTGCAGTCCTTGTCCAAATGCAATAGGGAAAAAAACATGTGCCTTCCCAGGTCCCAGTGCCCTTTCAGGGAGAATTCAGCAGGCACAACTAGAGACAGTACTCTCTCCTCAACACAGGGCCCCAGTAACCTCTCTGGGGCACAAAGCCACCAGATCTGGTAAAAGCCAAGCCCATTTCCCTTGGTGTACCTTGTCCACAACCCATCTGAAGCCCCTCCTCAACTCAGGTCCTAAATCCCAGGCCCAGTGGCCCAGAAAGCCAGACAGCCTAGGAATACATTTCTCACCTCTGTTCACAAAGCCTTAGTCCCTGTGGTCCCTCACTCCCACCACAACCCAGCCTACTGACCTCAGGCCAGCAACCACAGGAAGGATCATTTCTTAGCAGTTTTATTCATTCAGTGATCCAGTATTTACAGGAGCTGAGGGGTCAGGTGGTGCTCAGCCCCTGCAGTCATTATGTACACAGATAAGGGCCTGCTCGCCTGCTTAGATCACCTACAAAACCAGAGAGTTTGGGGCCTGAGCTCCAGAGGTAATGCTGAGCCCATACCCCTTGGCATCAGTCCTCTGGGAACAAAGGCTCCAACTAGTTGTCTTGCTCCTGCTGTCTCACCCTGAGAGCCTAGCAGAGGCCAAGGAAGTGGCACAGCAGGGAGAGCTGAGTGGTGCCAGCTTTCTGCAAGCAGCCCTGTTTCTGCTACCCCTAAGAGGAGGGAGACACAGTAATACTGAGGGGCTGGGCAGAGGCTCCTCTGAGCCCCAGCTCCAGGGACAACGACTGGGACCCCAAGGTAGGCCCAAAGCCAGGGCCACAACACTGAAAGCAAGAGGCCCAAAGCCTTGCTATGGGTAGCAGTGTCAACATCTCCAGGTAGAACTGGGACAGTTTTACAGGCCACCAAACAGCTCCAACACTTTTCTCCACTCAGGCCATTCATCCTACCCTCACAGGAACACTCCACACCCAGTCTTGCCCAGCAGCCATGTCCCTGAGTTTGGCACTCTCTCAAGAGGAATGGAGTGGGCCTGGCTTCCTCATGACAGGGACAGGCTAGTGGCTGAGCTAGAGTAGCAGGGGCCCGTGTTTACCGAGGCCCCTAGCTGGGACCCTACAGCTGTGACCCTGGCATGATCAGGGACCTGGGCCCACCAGGATGACAGCTACCAGGAGAAAAAGCAGAGTCAGGAAGCCAGCTATGCTAACGTGATGGCAAGATGGGTTGGAGGTCAAAAAAATAGACATCTCTGATAGGTAAAATATATATTCTGCTGCCCAGGCAGAAGGATCAGGTCTGCAGCTCCACAGCCAGCTGTGGAGGAAGCCACAGCACCCTGCTGTGGCCCAACTCCAGCTGCTGCTTCCTGAGCATGACAGGATTGACCTGCCCACTCACCCCCTCGCCAGGCCCCAGGGTTTGATGCGGGAAGCATGGGCTGGATCCCACTCCCAGGGCCTTAGCTCTCTGGCTAGAACTATTCAGTAATACTGGGAAAAGAAGTGGGACAAGGAAGGCCCCTCCTGAGGGCCTCACGGCAAGAGCAGGCTGCAGTCAGGGCCAGAAGTCCTCACTGGCGCTTGGCCTTGTAGGGCCGAGAACGTTTCCGCCGGTCAGGCTTCCGCTGCTTGTGAAGCCGGCCGATACTGACCCCTTGGCGCCGCCGCACTGAGATGTTCTGCTCCACCAGGTTGGCCAGCATGCCTGCGGAAGGCACAGACCCTTGAGCCATCCTCTTAGTTGCAACAGTCTCAGGCCAGAAGCTGAGGCTCTCACAGACGTCCCTGTGCCCCATAGTCTGCTCAAGCCTCAGATGAGTTCTAAGGGAGGGGAGGTTTGACAGATATGCACCTCTGTGGAGTGTGCCAATTAAGACATCAGAATTAGCCCCTTACCTTCTTGAGCCAGCATGGAGATGAAGGTGCAGATGAACTCATCATAGTTGTGTGTCCTTCTCTGGTCATCAATCTGTGGAAAAGAGAAATATGGGGAGTCACAGCCCATCTCCCCAAGCAGCTGACCTCAAGAGGGGGCAGAGAACCATGTACTTTGGAGTGGAGAGTTCACCCACCTTGAACTTTTTCCTCTTCTCCACCTCCTCCTTGAGGCAAGCCTCATAGTTTGCAATCTCAGCTTCCACACACTTTAATAGTGCCAGCAGCTCCTGCCAAAATCCAGTATTGCATCTGAGACTGGTCAGCTCCAAGCTCTGCTACCAAGAGGCAGCTAGAGGGAAGGGTGAGCAGCCAGTGTCCATGAGGCCTACTATGGCCCCTGCCACCACCCAACTCAGAAAAGCTTTCTGGCATCTGGTTGTAGCCACCAACCTTCATACCAAAATTCTAATCAAGAACACAGCACAGAGGCTGGGGATGTAGCTCAGTGGTGCCGCCGCCTTGCAAGTGTTAGGTCCCAAGTTCAATCCCCGGCACCACAAAAAGAACATAGCATCTGAGCAGCAGCAGCCTAGGCCCTTCTCTCTGCCAGGATAAAGCCACTAAGAAGGTTTACCTTGGGTGAGTACTTCTCGCCACTCAAGGGCTCACCAGGCCTGACCAGCCCAGTCTTCTCTCTGCAGTCTGTAGCTTCTGCCACCTCCTTCTCCTCTGGGCTGCTGGACCCCTGGTTGCCTTGGCTCAGCCTGATAGGGGGTGAGGAACCCTTCCCACCCTCTGAGAAGAGGACATAAGAAGACATGTCAGAGTACAAGACACTTTGGGGTCATCTGGCCACCTCCCTCCTCCCTCCCAGGTGCACCGACTGGCCAATGAGCCAGCCGAAGACCCACCTGTCAGTGCCAGGGGACTCAACACACCATCCTCAGCAAGGTGTAGCAGGCCTGTGCTAATGACAGGACCTAGGTCACGGACAGCACGGTTGTAGCGTATACAGTCAACACGTAGAAGGCTGTCATCCTCCCCAAAAAGCACCTTAGAGATGTGGGAGGTGACAGGGCTGGAGGGCCGTGTTGGATTGGCTGAGCGGATAGGCGAGCGCAGAGGTGAATTGAAAGCACTGCCAATCTCAGAAGCTGTGTCTGTGCTCTCATTGCTAGGAGTAGGTGAGGGTTGCGAATGTGTGGGCACTGCCACAGCTGGACTTCCAGCCCCACTACTAGTCTTGATGGAAAGAGGAATTGAGAGGTCTTTCTGGGACTCTTTGAGCTTCTCAGCCAAGACGTTAATGGTATTGGGCTGCAGCACCGATAGCTGCCCATCTGCAGAACTGCTCAACGACCCTGGCTTCCCTGTTCCTTTCCGCTTGTATCTGTAGGGCCCAAGAATACGTGAAATGAGGGAATAGGCCAGAGAGCTAAAACCAGCAGTATCTAGAATGGCCTAGCCTTTAGGGGCTGACCCCAAAGCACTTCACACTCGTTCCAAGCAGCTCCACATAATTACGCCAATTGTGGCATCCTAAGCTCCATCAGCAGCAGCCTGGTATATTTGAAGAACACCTCTGTTCTAATTGCCTCACTCTAGACTTGAGCCAGCGCCACATCCCAGCAATGCTCCTCCCCTCATCCCACCTCTCCATCCCTCCCATCTCCTCCTCTTTTTCCTCAACCAATCCTTCATGGCCCAGTTGAAAGACTACCTCAAACAGACATGCCTTGATACATGCTTATGTGCTCAGTTCTCCCTCAAGCCCACCATAAACTTGAGGGCCTGGGGTCAGCCCTTCAGGGTTCCCCCAGGACTCCCCCAGGGCCCTGCATTTTACAGGTGTGCAATGTCATCCACTCATGAGCATTCTCAGACACTGGACTGGGACTTTCAGAACAGGATCCAAGGCACCCAGAGCCTGTTAACCTTACAGAGCTAAGGCTGACCTGATGGCAGAGTTGGTGTTTTGCACGTCATCCTCCTCATCATCCTCATAGTCATCTTCATCATCTGAGTACTGCTGGGGTGGACGGACTGGAACACGGCTGCGACCCACACCTGCTGCCAGGTCTTCCTCCTCCTGGGCCAGAGACCAGGGCAGTTGGGAACAGGGGCTACCCACCCGGCTGGGGATAGCACTCACAGACAGGTAGAAAGGCAACATGATCTCCAGGTTGAGCTCCTCTTTGCTTGGGAGAGGCTGCCACCTACTGACACTGCACAGAAGCCTATGGAAGGCTTCCATGAGAATATACCCTCAACATTTAACCCCACAATGTGACTGGATTTAAAGTAAGAGAAGCTCTCCCAGCTTCTCTAAGCCCCTGCTGTTGTGGGACCTCTAAGTATCAGAGGAACCTGGCAATCCAGGCCCAGGCAGAGAGTGACCACCAGGGGACCACATGGGGAAACTACCACTGTGGCCTCTGAAAAGCTCAGAGGAAATCCTGCAAGGGTGCTACCCACTTACCTGCATGGGGGACTTGGCATAATTGTGATTGTCTAGAAAGGCCGGCAGCCGCTGGACAATGGGGGTGGAGTTAGGGGGAACCCCATTGAGGCTGCTCCCTGGAGGCTTCACCACCAGCTTGGGTTTGCTGGGAGGACTATGAGTTGGAGCCTGCGGGCATGAACCAGCCACCTCCTCTGCACCATCTGAGACAGGGCAAGGAGTATAGGTAGAGGACCTTTAGTTGGATCCTCAGGCAAAGCCCAGTCTCCCCAGTCATATTACATAGCACTGTCCCCGCCTTCCCCAGAGAAGAATACCTGAGCCAACTGGCAGAAAGGGAGAAGCAAGCTCTAAATCACGGTCCCACAGTACGACTGGGGGAAGAATGAGATGGGGCAAAAAAAAAAGGGGGAGACAGGGAAAAAAATGTCTACAGAAAACAAGAAAACCTTACAGGAGACCTGGGTGATGGCAACCCTATACAGGTGCCTTTTAGGGAAGGACAACTTTCCTATGTTCTTGGGGAAGAGAGCTATAGGCATTGGGCTTTTGGGCCTCCAGCCACTGGGAAACCTCTGCACCACTTCCCACGTACTTACATAGAAAAAGACTAGCTTTTACTTGGACTTCCCAAGACAAGCTCGGAGGGATGGCTCCAAAGCCCATAAGAGGCCCCCAACCCCCTTCCCAACCAAGTACCTGGGTGGGTGCCCTCAGAGGCCACTGGGGTCCTGCCTGTCTCCATCACAAGGGGGGACTTGCTGCTGGCTGGCTTGGACTCCTCAGACAGTTGTGACTCTTGAGACTTGTGGGTTTGAATCAGCTCCGGCTGTGTTACTCTAATCAGCTGAAAACAGAATCTAAGGCTCAGAGGGGGGGGGGCTCCACTTTAGACAGCTAAGATACAGCACAATGGCCATGACTCTACCCATTCACCATTCACAAGAGAAACAACCAGCCAAATTATAACCTTTTAAAAGCTATTCTCCCTCTTTGCCCCAAGTTCTACCTATCCCATGAAAGAAGTACTGTAAAAGAAAAGGAACAGCTAAAGCTCAGGTCCATGAGAGTATGATTTGGGAATCAGAAAGAGAAGTTGCAGTGGAGGAAAGGCTGGCCCAGGGCCAGGCAGAGGGGAACCTACCTGCTGCAGAGCCTCCAGTACTGTCTGACGGTTCACCTTCAGTACATGCAGCCTGGCCTCATACTTGATCCTGCGGTCGGGCACCACTGCCATCAGGTTGAAGCGGATGTCGTGGTACGGCTCCCTGCAGTCACAGCCGCAGCCGTGAGGGGAGCTCCCACCCCAGCCCCACCATCAGGTTGAAGCAGATATCCTGGCAGGGCTCCATGTAGTTACACTTGCAGCCATAGGGATAGGCCCCCGCCCCAAAAAGTGGGCAGCAGCTGGCGAGGTACACCAGGCACCTGAGCTAGCACAGTCCAATGAGCTGTGAGAGGAGCCTGTCGGGGAGTGAGCCAGCACACATGGGCCATCTAGAGACCCAGCAAGGCCTACCCTTCCCCTTAAGCTCATCACAGGGTGGGCCACAGGCAGCCCAGGCAGGAAATAAGGCAAGGAGGTAGAAGCCCAAGATCTAAGCCTGATCTTGCCAGATTAACCATATGCCCTGGCAATCACAAATCACTTGGGGGATGGCCTTTCTGTATCCCCCTCGAAAGGAGCATATCTCCGTAAGGGTAGACTAGGATAGGGTCAGGGTCCTTACCCTGCAGTAGCGAGGCCAATACGCTCCATGATGACCCGCCGGGCTTTGTCTGTCCATTCCTCATCCTCCCCCCAGGGCCCTAGGAGAGATCAGCAAGTGGAAAATTGTGAGTTTGAACAGGTCAAGGGTGGGAAGTTAAGACAGAGAAGTGTGGTTGAACCAGGCAGTCATGAGCTGGTCAGGCAATGTAGTTTAGAGTAAGATCCTGGCCAGAGGTAGATGTCTTCAATATAAACCCCACCCTCTGCCACGGGGTCCCAAGCACCTGAAGGCCTTAAGCTCAGAAAGTAAGTAAGAAACCCAACAGGTGCCTACCATGGTCAATAGGGTAGACCTTCAGCCCATCCAGCTCAAAGAGCCGACCTGTGATAGGCACATAGCTGACAAAGTGAAATGCCTCCATGGTCCGCACTGCACTAAGGCCATTCTGCTTCTCAGGGAGGTGACGCGGCTCAGGCCTGGAGAAATGCAAAGTCAGGGCCCACAAAAAAGACATTTTTCCCTACCCCACTCCATATTGGCCACCACAACTCCTACATACCTGGCATGGCTATTGTGTGCCTTGGCCAACTCTGGGGCATTGCCAATTGCATATCCTTTGCTCTAAGGGGAAGAATAAAACCACGTCAAAAGACCTTCTCAGGTGGGCCTCTGAGTGGGGGCGGGGTAAAGCTCCAAGCAAGCCTCGAGGCATTCCAGGAATCTGAAGCAGCATAGACAAACTTTGCTAGGGGGCTCCAAGGGGAGAGAAAACAGCTCACATGCCCCAAAGGGATGGTCTGTTCTGGCCTTGCAGTTATCAGTGGAAAACAGGAAGCAACACTACCTGTTAGAAAAAGTCCCAGCTGAGAAGATTCTGACACTGTAACTTAAATCTCTTCCTTCCCTAGGTCTGTCTCCTAACAATTGAGCCTAAAACCAATTGTCTCACACAATTATGTGTCAAATGTAATGTTCATGGTCATTTGAAAAAGAAACAGCCAGATAGTACCAAATACCGTGTGGTGGCATTTCCATTGGGCCTGAGGATCAGATCTGCCCAGCCACCTGTGAGTCAGGATTAAGGCACTGCAACCTACCTCAGGGCTGAAACCTCTGGTGAAATCCTTCATACGACTCAGGGTAGGCCCTAGGTCCACACTGCTGCAGTTCAGGAGCACGCTCAGCAAGGCATGAGTGGCACAGGAGTTGGGGATCAGCTGTGAAACCAAGACTAGTCACCCATACAGAGAATCCTTCACTCAAGTTCTTCCAATCCCCTATTCATTAGGTATTGGTTTTGAAACAGGGAGTCATATCTGGACAGGAACCCTCCTCAGCTTTTGTCATCCTCACCCAACATTTGTTCACCTAACATGTACCAACTACTCAGCATGTGTCTGGGAACTTGGAGAGTGAACTGAGATGCCATCCTATGCTAAAGATGTCTCCTTTAGTGAGTAAGAGCTGGGTTCCTTCTGCCAAGAAGTTTCTATAACCATCACCTTTGGTATATTCCTATCTCTTCTTCCTGCCTTCCTCACTTCAACTTCCTAAGCCAAGAAAATAGCAGCATCCCACTCACCAACAAGCACGAAGCCCAACATACCTGGTGGGCAAAAAACATATTATTCACAATATCGTCATCAATCACAGATGTATCATCCACCAAGGTAGAGACCTTGCGACGGGACCTGCGTTCTTCGATCCATTTGAACAAGAAGATGAATCCATATACAGGGCTAGAGAAGTAAGGGCAACAGGCCATCAGCATCCTCTTCTTTCTTCCCCTATTACTCTGCATCATGTCATCACTCAGGAGCTCCCGCCATGATACCACCTCTTTGGCTTCTTGTCAATACTGTATCCAGTGTGACCCTTGGCCCTTATCCCCCACAGGCAGAATCAAGTATCAGCTTCTGGCTGTGGTGCTCCAGGAGTCCACTCACTCTCCCTATGAAGTCTATGGTTCTGAGTAAGATTTAATAAACTAGAACCAATGGTTCAGGACAGAAATACAAAATAAGAACAAAAGCTCTGGTGAGTAATTTAAGCACTAACTCTCGCTTGTGGAGCCAAGGTCTGAGCTCCAAGAATGCCACAGAAACAAATGAACACCCACACCCATCCCTGCTTTTCCAAAAAAACGAAGTCAGTCACTTAGTCACTGTAGCAGTCTCTCTACATTTCTATTCTGCAGAATTGCCTGGACAGGAACCTGAGTTTAGACACCTAGGAAGGGTCTAGTCACACCAATCAATCAATACTGTACAACTTCCGTGTGGGGATTAAGGACACAGCAAACATGGCCATGTAATTAATGAATTACCCAACTGCACAAAAGGCCCTGTGTGACCTAGGGTTTCCTGCTGCAAGACTAGAAAAGGTAGCTAAAAGGTACCCCAAGGATGGTTGAGGGGAAAGTTACTACCAAAACTGAAGTGCTGAGGAGAAACTAGAAGAAAACAAAAACAGCTAATTAGGAATGGCACTAAGAGAGGAAGGATCATTCTTCTGTGACCTATCACAACCTGGGTTTCCAGATACTGCCTCCCTTGAGGGGAACTCATCCCCTGCCCATTCCCATTCTTCTGGGTGTAAAAGGCCACTCACCCCTGGCATTTGCTCTGGAGGTCATAGATCTCCTCCACCTGCACACCTTTGACACCTACGATCGGGAAACGAAAGAAGGTGGGAAGGGCAGCCCCTGGCCCTACAGCCAGCACACAGGGATGAACCCTCACAGCCCCATGTCGGGCAGGCGGGCGGGAGGCTCTTACCGAAATCTTCCACCAGGAGGGTGAAGAGGCCTGGGAAGAAGGGGGTGGTGGTCAATCAGGCGCGTCCCAGGCCCATCCGGCCCCCCAGCCCCTGGCCCGCCCAGCGCCCTCCTCACCCGGGTCGCTCTCCAGCTCCAGCCAGCCTTTATTCATCTTCCCGCGGGGCGGCCCCTCAGCGCCATGTCCAGGCCCTTCCGAACCCCCGCCGCCCC